ACCTGCCTGCAGTGCCTATCCGTAGCAATAGAATCTATCCCGCCCGAAGCGTTCCCCGTTCACCTGTATTCCCGAGCCTGACCCGTGACAGATATCCGGTTCTTGGTGTTTTGGTCGGGGTGGCCGGTCTGTGGGGGTGGCCAGTCTTTGGGTGACGGACGTTATCATCATCATAGGTTATTCGCATATTCTCATCCCACCCAAAACCCACCCCCCGGAATTTGTCTCGACAAGCTCTTCTCCAAAGTCGCAAAGAGTATCTCGGTTACCATTTCTACAAACTACCTCCTTGCGACGCATATTCCAGATCTGTTGCCTCAATGCCTCGAGCTAAACGTGCGCGTCGTGCACCCGCACAATCTGCGAAGTCTCATGCACGATCACCTTCACCCGATGCAAGTGACAACGAAGTTCCCCGACCGACTCGGTCTCCCGAGAGAGGCCGTAGAAGGACGACACGATCTTCAGGTGCTTATTCAAGTGCCGTCAACGAGCAAGATGTTCTCGCGGCGAATAGGCGTCGCGACGCAGCGCTAGACAAGCTAGCCAACGAGGATCCTACTTCCACAGCCAGTAACAATGTTGAGGATGGAGATTCTGGAAGCTCAATCGAAGGTGGACGACGAGTAACAGCTACACCAACTCGAAGAAGGGACACGACTGGACTAGATTTAGCCGATAGCGTGTTTGGTGATCTCGACGATAGCTTCGGGATCGAGGACGACGATACCCGACCAGGACTGCGCTCAGCTGATGCATCCTCTCTCAACTTGAGCAACTTCAGGCGTAGACCACGCCAATCCAGCATTATTGGGCGCAACGACCCTCCCATTAGGCCCAGTAGCCGCGGCGGCAACACACCCAGTATCAGCTCGACACTTCACTTCGGTGCCTTCAAGCGGCGCGCACGAGAGCCAAGCATTTTGGGAACTGCGCGAAAGCCTCGACCGGAAGAAAATGCCGCAGGACAGGAACCGGATTCAGCGAGCGAGGACGAGGACGAGGACGATTTCATGCCTGAAGCCGAATCGACACCTCTCAACAACCGACGGCGGACAAAGCCCGAGACTGAGCCGGAGATCGAGGTTCCTGCCTCTCCAGAAGTCTCCGCAGGACCGAAGCACAGGAAAAGAAAGAGCGAAGATGCGCTACCAAGTAGTGATCGGCCTGATAAGGTATCGCGAATTGAGAGAGACGCGGACGAAGAATCAGAGGAAGAAGCGGGACCAGCACCCCAGGTGATTTCTGATGATGCAAGCGATTCTTCACTGTCAGATCTCGATTCTCCCCTAGGACCATCTCCGGTGCTTCTGGACAGGCCTGTTACCCCCATCAATAACGAGGAGCTCATGGCTCTACCTGCCAGTAGTGATTCAGAAGACGTGAACTGGCCTGATATTCATACCTTGGCTAAGCGACGCCGAAGGCCTTCCGCCACAACACCTATTCGCGCCGATAACTTTTCAGATGTATCTTCACCTCCTTCTCTGACACACTCTCCCAATTATGCAGAGGCACCGAAGTCCCGAGGTCGGGCTACAACTCGACGTCAGCAACCATCACCAAAGATAACAACTGCCGACTTGACGAGTCTACTTCCGAAGCGCCATTACAAGAAGCAGCGGGACCCACTGGGACTGGAGAGCGACGAGGAGCATGACACATCCGGTATCGGGGAGGACGAGGACGAGCTATCGTATCTTGACAGCCGGGCTGCGCGTCGAAGACGAGGCGGACGATCGACCAGCCGCGGAGGCGCAAGGCGACCAGGCTCACGAGGCGGGCGCCCAACTCAGGCTCTCAAGCCCAGACAGCCGACCTCTGACAAGCAAACGGGTCGTAATGCAAAGACTTACTCGCGTCGGTCATCGGACAAGGAGAATGAGAATGAGAATGATGCTGGTAGCGATGAAGACGAGGATGAGCACGAAGCCAGTCGTTTTCAGCCACTCCCAGACGATACTTTTGAGAACGGAAGTGGTGAGAACGCAAGCACTCCATCAGCTGATGAGCTCAAGCAAGCAGCAAGGAAGTTTAAAGAGGTTGACAGGTGGGAACTTGACTTTGAGGAGGTTACGCAGAGTTCGTCTCCACTTGCACGATGAAGCACAAACGAAGCGAAGCAGAGCAAAGCAAAGCACAAAGAATGAGATGAGGGCGCCAAGTAATATGAAAGGAAAAGGGCCGAGGCGTTCAGCGGGTTGGAGCAACTGTTTTCGAGCAAAACCTTGGGAGTTACACAAAGGGAGTATGCTAGGTCAGGGTATTTTATGAAAATTCTGAATGATGCCTGTTTCGGGCTCACATTGCATTGTACGTTGAGGAGGGCAAGAATGGATCCCATGTCAGAGTTGAGTCAAATGGTGAAGAGGTCTGCGGCGGGGGTATTCAAAGAGTACACTTTGATGACTTATTGATATCAGACAACTAAATCCTTGACTTGCGAGTTTCATCCCGCTCCTTACACATTTGTGTAATGTGTAATATGCCTCAACTCCAGAAACGCCGTGACTTGATGTTCTTGTTTTCCTGTCCTGATTTGTTCTCATGCACTTGGGTTGAGAGCTTCTGCCCGATGCTCCACGAGCGGCAGTAGTGGAGCTAGGACGTTGGGATCTCTCAGTGCGATTGTAATGTCGTCTGGGAGTCTTCCAGACATGAGAAGTTTCTGCAGCGCTGAAGTCAGTATTGCATGATGGAAGATTGAGGTCAAGCCATTTCCATAAATCTACTCACCCTCTTGACTTTCTCGTAGGTCTCTTCTTGCGCCGAGTATTCGCGAATAACCTCATCAGTCTCAAAATCGACATAGACACGGGTGTCACGTATCCGCAGGACAACATTATCCAGGCGCATGAACAACCGACACAGCAAAAGCATGCGCTTCTCGTGCACGCGGACTTTGACGCTGAAGATGGATATGCCGTTGTCGTCCAGCTCACTCTCGTACAGCATAACTTCGTCAAAGAAAAGGATAGGGTCTCGACGCTTCAGGAGCTCAATAGGGATCACCTTGTCGGTAGGCGCAAACTGCATAGCCGAGGCCTCGATGCTACCAGTATATGTCGTCGAGTAGCTCCAGTCATAGGGCTTCACAACTTCCTTTATACCCTGTGTGGTGCCTTCTCGGGTGCTCTCCCAGTCTCGAGCATATGCAACCTTGAGCATGTGGCGATCTGTCTTGTCGACGGCGTCAAGCGCATCTGGAGTGTTGAAGTTCAGGGACCAGCCTGAAGGCACATGTTCAATTCCGACGACGTTGTCTCCAAATATCATCTCCGGCATCGGAATGCCAATCTTTTCGGTGAGTGCATCGATGGTACCGGATTTAGAGATGGGCAGCTTGCGGGTCGAGATGCGGAATCTGCTTTGCGAGTGCGTCGTTGTGGCCGAGGCGAGAGCCTGTGGCTTAGGGAACGGTTCGTTCGGGTCTGAGATATGGTTGCGCTGCATATTGGGGCGTGTGCGTCTTGATGTTTTCAAGATTGAGAAGATGAAGGTGAAGATGTCAGAATCAAGAGCTGGCTGAGTTACGGGTTGGAAGCTGTTATGTTATCCAATGGCGGGGTGGGTGGGGTCCTGCGGGGAGCTAAGTTAAGGTACCTTAGGCCTTACAATGGATGCGCCAGGTCCCTGAAGTTTGGTACTCAAAGGTTCAGATAGGTAGTGTAGATAGATGTCCAATTAAAAGCAATAAGATCTCTGTCATTCCTCCTGCTCCAGACTTGTTTGTTTTGTTCATCTTGAAGTTTTCTACCCCGAGCATCTATTTTCTTTCCTCTGTATATGTTGACAACACTCTTACAGGTGCCTTACCAAGGATGTAGGTACAGGTGCCTAGGTTAGTTATTGTACCTAGGTTCTACTCCACTCTGAACTGCACTTAGTTTTATCAATCAGATATCCACGGACCCAATATATCCCATTGAAGTTTGACTATTGGCTGAACAATTCCGTTAGCAGCCATGACTCTTAGCTCTATGCCTACCTACAGAGTAATATTTTCAGTGCTTCGACATCTTCGGAGACTTTCAGACAGTCCTCTATATTGAACAGCTGGAGTCTTTTTAGTATATACTGGCCTTAAATGTAAATATTAAATTCCCATAATCTTGCTGACTACACACTTCCCGGTAATCTCAGATACTAAACCGTGAGTGAGACTTGGACAGAGCAAGTGAAACTTCTATGATTAGATGCTTGCCATAAAAGCATTTGAGCCTTCCGTGATACACTGGGTGGTAGATATGGGAGTTTCTCATGATACATTGTTATCTCAACCTGCGACTGATGAATGATATCCAAATCCTGATGCCACCACTGCGCATGGCCATGTGGAAGAGACCCCAGTGAATATGAGCTCTTTATTTTCCCATATATATATGCTCGACTAGACTAGATCTAAATATACCTAACTTTCTCGGATTAGCAAAATCCATGGGTAGAACAAGGACGAACTGGGTGAGCATGGCTTGGCTTTCCTTTTGATAAAGTCAATGATCAGCCATCTTACGAAAGTCGATCATCAAGAGCCAATCTTGTTCTTTTACGAATGCGAGAAAGCCCTTCCAGCCATTCAGCAGCACCACTGTCTTGATTACGATTTACAACGGGAAGAACTGACCTGTCAAGCAGCATGCGGAAGTATCTGAAGTATCCATAACTGCCTCAAAGTTGGCGAAGAACACCTGGAAATGTAAATCATGACACGCACATCAAACTCTGTGACTCATCTACTAATACAAGCAGTCTTTGGTCCTTTGCAGCTAGTGATCGTTCGCGAACATCACTCGTCAGACAATCAACGAGAATTGCCTCTTTCATATCAAATTGATGACAACCACAGCTTTCCAGAACCCGGAACCATATTCTATTTCTTTTGTAGTTATTTACCTACTGTCAAATGCCACTGTAGCGAGATCTAGTAAAGTTTGCCAATACCAGATTCAGGACAACATCAACTCAGAGCCAGAAGCTAGCATTAATCAAGTATGTGTATACTTTCCATGCTCTCAAGTTGCCCAATTATACTAAGATCTGGCGGTTACACAGATCCCCGATATCAAACGCATAGTACAGCTCTACAGAACTCCCACATCGACACTTGATGCTGCACCAAGTCTGAGACCTACTGTTCCACGCACGTATATCACTGAAAAGGACACAATCAGTATTTTCTTTCTGTACAGGACTACATAAGAGAATTCAACAGAAAATTTGAAAGTCGAGTTAAGGACAAGCCGGCCATAGAGTGACACGCCGAGAGACCATTTCACGACCACCCCTCCTCACTACATCCTGAGCCCAGCGTTTACCAGCGCACTCTATCATCAAAGCTATATTCATTTACCATATACCTTCTTCGATTGTTTTACACGATACAAGATTGAAGCACACGGAGACAAGATGGTTCTCACTACCATTTACTGGAACCTTGGCTCTTCAGATCACTCTTCCCCGTCGACCTCTTTCGTCCGTTACCCCGTCAGTGCCATCACAGGAGTCCCGTATTCGTCTTTCTCTCCCAGCACTTCCGAGCTCCTCCAGACCAGATCCCTCTCCCAGTGGCTGTCATTTATCAGAGATGTCGGCTTCTACGAGGATAGGCACAATCCATTCCAGAGCTTGAAAGACAACAAAGCTCGCATGCAACAATTTGAAGTCCATGCTATCGATGCTCGCCTGCGATCTTGGGCTCCAAAAGTCCATAATTGGTGTCCAAATACCAACGAATGCTACAGCGTCAGTTTCAAACCTTGCATGGTACGGTATCTGGATGAGCACGCATCTTGGGCGGGCATAGACGATCTAACAGATCCAACAAAAGTTAAAGATATGTCTAAAAGACCAAACACTGGTCTGGGTACCTCTAACAGCCTGCCACAAAATACCATTACTGAAGGCCGAATACGGCAAAACATGAATGCCTGGGGAACTCTATGAATGTATTCTCATCCTGTCCACCTTGCCTCATCGTGGGTCTGGTTTTTTAGCAATACTCGAAACATGGATATGACGAGCTTCGGAAGGGTTACCTCGCTTGGCGCATGACCTGGCACACATTCAAAGCCAATGCAAACCCCAAGTCTGTTGAAGGCGCAAAGTCTATCTTGAGGAACATTGCCTCCAGGAGCTTACCAAAAGCTGAACATGTGGGGAGACATTACAAACGACTATACCCTCCTGTCCTATGAATATTTGACCAAAGAGGATTTCATGAACCTCTATGACCTTGGAGACCAGGCCATTAAGTACTTGAAATCTCACCGTCTCGATTGGAGAAAGGATATCGATGTTATACAAGACTTTGCTGGTCTGAAACTGTCTGTCCTTAGTCAAGAATCCATCTCGGAATTAAGAGACATCATTCATACTATCAACGCCGACCTCATGAGACTGGTCACCGCTGAACTCGAGCTCACGGAAACTCCCAAAATTTGGATTGAGATGAATCGAAGAACACTGTATTACTGTGCCAAACAGAATTTCAAGACTCTTAGGCAAGCCCTTTGCGACAAGCATCGGCGAGACACTAACCAACATTTTGGTAGGGAGACTATGAGACATGCTGTTTGATGAGTACCTATTCGGGTCGCTAAGTTGTATGGAAACAACAAGGCTTCAGTTTCAACCGGCTACGCTATTTGTCTACATTTTCTTTCTTTGGCTCGAATGTGCTATATTGGCGTCTGACCAGGCGTCATAAATGTCTGTACAATGATAAACGGTTCCGGGGCTCCAGCTGACGTTTAGTCTGAGAAACGCCGTCCGAAGAGCAAATAAACTAATAGGGCTATATTTAGACCTATAAGCTCCACTTTTGGTCCTTATACTGCTATTCTAATGTAAATACTCTACCTGTTTATAATATAAATCGTCTTAGACCTCCTTTATCCAAGCTAGTAACCTTGTAAGTCGTTTTTTTGTGAATAGGACTACCCTGAATTTCTCAACATCTATCTCAAGAGAAACTAAGACAATACTAACTACTAGACTGCTATTAAAGAGACGGACTTTCCATATATACTATTGCATATTTTCCTATTGCTATTTGAATAACGTTGCGATGAAATTTATCTTCATAGTCATTTCTATCAGCCTAGGTTAAGTAAGGTAGGGTAGGTAGTCAAGGGTCCCACCTACTCATGTTAACCTCCACTCCACCTCCAGCCGCCAACTGATAAGAATCCTTATCAGGTTCCGCTCCATCAACTTTTTTTGTTTTGCGAAGCCAAGCCATCCCGCCATTGAACAACATCAACAACACCATCAATCACCATATCCTAACGATACAATGCGCCCTCTCACAGAAAAGGAGACCCAGACTCTTTTTGAGAAACTGGCAAACTACACTGGTGGCTCCCTCAAGAACCTGATCGCACCCCTCGACGACTCCCCCAACCCTGATCGCTATGTCTTCCGCCTAGTTCGCGATCGTGTCTTTTACGTTCGTCTCTCAATCGCCAACCTGGCGACCTCTATTGCGCGTGATAAGCTTCTCTCTCTAGGAACTTGTCTCGGTATGTCGTTGCCTCGATAACTGTCACAATATTCTCTGGCTAACCTTCAAATTTCACAGGCAAGTTCACCAAGTCTGGCAAGTTTCGCCTGCACATCACAGCCCTTCCCATCATCGCCGAGCACGCCCGCTACAAGATTTGGGTCAAGGAAAACGGAACTATGCCCTTCCTATACGGCAGCAACATCGTCAAGGCGCATGTCGGTCGCTGGTCAGAGGACTGCCCCGAACACCAGGGAGTTGTTGTCTACAGCATGAACGACACACCGCTCGGATTTGGTGTCACTGCCCGCAGCACTGCTGAGGCCCGAAGATTGGATCCTACCGGTGTCACTTGTTTCAGACAGGCCGACTGTGGAGAGTACCTCCGTGACGAAGACAACTTGTTTGCGACGGGTTAGAGGGCAGTATGGTTTGCTTCGTCTGGCGTTGGGGCTATTTTAATCATTCATTCTTTGGCGTTGAGAGTGAGGGGAAAAGAAACTTATGGCCAAGTCAATCATGCTTGGGTTATTTTGTAGATTGGTAGATATCATCGTCGTCATCAAAGCGCTGTATATGTTGAAATGTATTCGCTTGCCCCATTTTGCCCACTTTGCCCATTTTGCCCATTCTCGAAGCCCTTTCTTTGTCTTCCTATTCCATTACTGCACCATTTATCTCTCGAGCTGGACTCACTGGCCTGCTGTCTCTCTTGAAGAAACCGACATGCTGTCGGTGAGCGACATACTCACTATCAGCATAGCCAAGAATCTTCTCAATCTCGACGCTCTGCTTGCCCTTGATCCGCGCGATCTCAGCGGCGGCATAGTTGACCAGAGCTCGACCGACTTCTTCAGGGGTGCCCTCCCACATTTTGCCATCAGGCCCAGGGGTTGATCGTCGCTTGACTGCTACGAGACGCACCACCTCCTGTTGGGCAAAGTTACCCTCGACATCAATGACGCCAACCGGAAGCAGACCCGCCTTGCCAACAAGGGCCTTATAAGCGCCTGAGTCGATGTAGAGGGTGCCGTGAGGATGAGGAGTGTGAAGCAGCCAAAAGTGACGGTCCCTGATGGGATCGTTGGCGGGGATGAAGCGAGTGTGTAGGGGGGGCCAAGGGGCGCCATTTAAGTTGGAGAGCGTCAGAGCTGATGCTGATCGTGACAAGCCTTCAGCACGCTCGTCTGGACTGGGAGGAGTGTTCCCTCTTTGTATTGACTGCAGATACTGCACAATGTTGAGCACGTTTCCTGGGTTAGAAGACCTCGTAATGACAGTCGTGACTCCAGCGGAAGTGCCCAGCCTGGCAGCAATAATCTTGGTGCTCATGCCTCCTGTTCCAAGGGACGAACCAGCACTGGAGACTGCTTCAGATTTAGTTTTCGGTGAGGTAAGCCCGCGATTGAATATGAATCTTACCGTCAGCCTGTAGTGCGGCGATGTCTTCGACCACCTCGATAGGCTTAGCATCTGGGTTGGTTCTGGGGTTTTTGTCATAGAGACAGTCAACATCCGTCATCAAGAACAGCATATCAGCGTGTATCATAGCGGCAGTGATAGCAGAGAGAGTATCATTGTCGCCAAACTTGATTTCGGAAACGGCAAGAGTGTCGTTTTCGTTAACAATGGGAATTACGCCTTGTTCCAAAAGGGCATGGAAGGTGTTTTGGGCGTTAAAGTATCTCGTTCGCTGCAACATATTTTTTTTTAGCTCACTGTTGAAGATTAAGACAAAAGAGTTGGACACACGTCTGCAATATCGTTTCGTGTAAGGAGAATCTGAGCAATTGGCTGCCTGAGGTGGGTGAACAGACTATCCCAGAGACTCATGAGGCGGCATTGGCCGATCGCTGCAAGAGCCTGTAGACATTCACGTTAGTCAATTGATTATAGATGGTCAACAGAGACATTCGGTTCCAACCTGTAGCTGTGCGAGATGCTTAGGTCGCTTCTCCACGTCCATACGCCGGAGACCAACACCGATAGCGCCGGACGAAACAATGACCACCCTGTGACCATCTTTGCGAAGCTTTACAGCCGTATCAACAATGAGAGTCAGAATCGGAAGAAGTGGTTCGTGAGTCTTCTCATCGACAATGGAGCTTGTTCCTGTGATGAAGGCCGAGTGTTAGTGGGGGATGAGTCAAGCTTGGTGTTGAGCCGTAAAGTAAACTCACCAAGCTTGATGACGATGGTCAGAGACTTTGTCCCGTTGCCTCTCATGACTGCGAGATTTAAGAAAAAGGAAAACAAGTCAGTTTAATGCCGCTTTTGGGGTATGATGCAACGCCTGTAAGAAAGACTGGCACTTTCACATGGGTGTCTCTATACACTACACATGTGAAGAGGCGCATATGTATAGGTAGGTAGTATATATATGGAACAAGTTCAACAAGACAGACTTGACTCTTCTTCCACAACACAAATCAAAGAAAGATGAATGAAGCAAAGAGAAGAGGGATCGAGAGAAATGCTTACATTGAAACATGCTTTCACTCGTCATTTTCCTCATGCGCCCTTGTCGCTCTGAGTGTGGAACCGAGGGTTGAACAGGATAGGTAGGATAGGATGGTATGAGATGGGATGTGAGTGGGAGTGTCAGGATGTTTGGAGCTGGAGCTGGGCAAACGTTGGGCGATAGTCGAATTGATTGGACTGTGCTCCTGCGCCCTTGTTGAAGAGTTCCCCAGACCCCGATGTCGCCCGGGAAAACAGCACGAATAGGGTCCTTTCTTCGGAAAACTGGTCCAATCAGCCTCTTCACCGCCTGGCCGAATCGGGTTATCGGGTGCGTGGCAGAATTTACACTTACGGTACAGGCTTCTGAAGAGGCTAAGGTAAGCTAAGGCCAACTAAATTAAAGCCTTGTGAGAAGGTCAAGAGAGGTCGATCACCTTGAGATTCTGAGTCTTACGCCGAATACCGAATTCACTCGCCGAAGCCACAACAGCCTAAACTGGACTCAATTGACATAGGAAATACAGACACGCGCCTTTGCAGCATGTCATCTGATTCTACACCTCCTCCAGGTGTCCCCGCTGGAACGCCAAGTGCTTCAAATGCAGAAATCAAGAACGACCCTGCAAAAACCGGGTTTTCTCCAGAGATCTCATGGTGGATGAACTACTTCAAGATGCTCTCGGGCCAAATGACACCCGAGGGCAAATTCTTCTTCCGAGAGTATACAACAGAAATCGAGGAAGAAAAAGACTGCAAAGCTTGTGAGAGAGACCGCGACTGGCTCTTTACCTATTCACCCGTCGTTCGCTTCATGTCTGAGAAGATCCAGGCCCTCAATGGACGAATAGACCCTTCCAATGTTCACTGCCGCCGCTGTCCCTCCTCTCTGAGGGCTGATGGCTCTGTCAACTGGCAATCTGGTGGTTTTAGCCCCAATCATGGCATCCTCATATGTGCCAACCACATCAAGAACCGAAAGCATCTCGAGGATACGCTTGCACATGAGATGGTGCATGCCTGGGACTATGTTCGATGGAAGAATGTCGACTTTATGGGTCAAAAGGACTTGAAGCACGCCGCATGCACAGAGGTGGGTTAAGGAAGCAAGCCAATTTCTTTGCAAACAAGGATGCTAATTCATAATCAAGATCCGAGCTTCAATGCTCAGTGGCGAGTGCAGATGGACAAAAGAGGCCTTTGTTCGAGGCAATTGGAGATTGACGCAGCAATTCCAAAATTGCGTCCGCAGACGAGCCATTGATTCCGTCACGGCCAGATCCACATGCAAGGACGACGTCCAAGCAACCAAGGTTGTCAACCAGGTTTGGGATTCTTGCTTCGCAGACACGCGGCCATTCGATGAGGTTTATCGATGATTGCTAGCAGTCTGCCCTCCATATGAAAATGTGTACGATATCTAAGACGGGCGAGAGGCGCCTTTAATGAAATGTATGATGCCTTTCTGCTGTATACCACAATACTATCAATGATACCCTTGAACACGCTGGAGCAATTCTTGTATTCGTTTTAATGATTGTTGGAATGACGCCACAAAAGAAAATCCCGTACTCCGGCTGATGCAAACGGTCAGGTTCCGTCCTTGACTATTAGAAAATCAGTCAATCAATTGCCGATAAACGCCTTTCAACCGTTATCCATTCATATTATTTGTCGTTATATCATTATTGCCCCTTCTCGCGGTTAGAAGCACGCTCACCCTTGACGCAGTGCTTGATGATCCAGGGGTGTTGCTGAATCTGCTCAAGAGGAATTCGCTTCTCAGGGTCCAACACCAGGAGCTTCATCCATGTCAGTACGGCGATACAGAAATCTTTGGGGCTGCATACCTTCTTGATGAGGTCAGTAGCCTCAGGACTGACCCATGAAGGAATCGACATGTCAGCACGAGCAATCCTTCGTTGAGTCATCACTGGCGTATCCTCGAAGGGCGCTTCACCCACGAGGAACTCATACGTCAGGACGCCCAAACTCCACAGGTCAACCTTCTCGTTGTAAAAGTTGTCAGAGGTACCGGGCTTGATCATCTCAGGAGGGAGGTAGTCAAGAGTACCACACATGGTCTTCCTTCGGTTGTTGGGAGCGTGCACACTCCATCCGAAATCTGAGATTTTGATCTCACCATGGATGCCAACCAAGATGTTCTCAGGCTTGATGTCCCGATGGATGACATGCTTTCGATGCAGGTATCGCAATGCCGATGCCATCTGGGCGATGTACTGGGCTGCCTTCCACTCGGGGAACCGGCTCTCTTTTCGGAGGTGTTTGTACAGTTCACCCTTGCCAGCGAATTCGAGAATCAAAAATACTCGCTTGCTATCGTGGAAGTGGCCGTAGAGTTGAAGAATGTTGGGGTGTCTCAGGTTGCTTTGAATCTCGATCTCTCGGCGAACCTGCTTCTCAACACGACCTGCTTGCAATTCATTCTTGTGGAGGACCTTGAGGGCGCAGATGAAGCCAGTTGTTCTTTCTCGAGCAAGGTACACTCGTCCAAACTTGCCCTTGCCTAGAGGCCGACCAATCTCGAACATGCCGAGGTGGAACTGCTTAGGGACGCTGATTTGCTCTGGCAGTGTGACTGATTTTCGTTCATCTTGAGCTTCATCCGACGTCCTTGAGGAAGATGGAAGTGCTTTTCTTGTAGGAGATGGAGGCGCGTTGTTGACTTTTCGTTGAGCAGCCTGAGATGGCAGCATCACAGCGGCGTTGGTATTGCTGCTTTGCGACTGGAGGGCGACTTTGAAGAGGTTGGGTCGAGAGGCTCCATGTATACTTTGTGATGTGGTAGATGAGACCATAGTCTACCTATGTCAGTGATCAAACCATGATCGAGCGGTCAAAGGAAACACACCTTTGTCTTGCTGTAGAGCTTAGAGCCGTCGCCAAGGGGATCATTCTCATCGTTGACGGACATGCGCTCGAAGCGCGCCTCAATTGTACGGGTAGCCATTATTGAGAGCAAGGGCGGGATGGGCTGTTGATGTTAGTGAAAGACGAACGAAGAGATGAAGAAAGACGATGGAGGTTTGCCTTTTTGAACGGTTCCGATGCGGTCAGTCAGGTCGTTGGCTGGGGTTAGAAACCGGCTAGTATAAACATCTGGTTGCCGAGCAACTGATGCCGGGGGCTGCTAGAAATCTGGGGCGAGCTTGAGATCGGACCACCACAGAAGCTGAAGGTTATTGCACAATTGCCTTTTTTATGAAATATTCAGATCATGCAGTTACTGAGCTGTATCGAGACAAGAGCTTTGCCAGGCTGGTGATTGCTGGTCATTGGTTTTAAGGACCGACTTCAACACCCCGGCAGTGAGATCTCTCTTGCACCCTCACTCAAAATTCCAGGCCGATCATTGCCATTTCGATCATTTGTTCGTTCTTGCATACGTGCAAGAAGTGCCCCTACGTGAGGTAGGTAGTCAAGGTTTCTTCAGTCATTGTCTCGCCGGTCGTTAATGCAACGACTGAGCTCACGAGTCTGAGGTGTCGATGTATCTATCGACAGATAGAGTCAGTGCTATCTTCGCCTTCCATTCACGCAACATTGAACGAAAATTTAGTTAGACACTCACTTTTTGAGAGATGATAAACGTGAAAAAATCGACCTATAAGGAGATATCTATGAGTTTCGTCTTGGGGGAATGAGACGACTTATACGGGGTATATCACCAGATACTCACTCGACAAGCAACACAACTTGTTAGCATAATTGGTATCCATTATCAAAGCCACTCGCTTCATCCAGTACCAAGGTGATCGATCATTTTAGTTGATTTCATTAAAAAAAGACTTCAATGCAAAATTCATTCAACGCCATGATTATCATGATCAAGCCATGTCCCGGCACGTGCTGCGCATTGGGACAAATAGTACCTTACAGAAGGTATTTACTCCGTGAATAGAAATGGTATGTGGACGTGGTGGGGTCAAAGAATTGGATGTCAGTCAGACTTATCCTCCCAAAACTGCTGCATGTTATACACCCACGATAGCAAAACTCCCTCTTTAGGGTCTCTAACCACCAAATTGTCGAATCAGCGCCCAGCAGATGCCAAAGAAACTCACAAAATTCCCCCACCACCCACAGCTATCCATAGGTAACAAACAGAGAGACCCAGTTCGACGTCTCGAGTCTCTGGTCTGACCTAATAGCAGCCATTTTAGGCCACCTACGCTCCATACCTGACGGAATTGACTTTTGTGACTCACGCCCTCCTCTGTCTCTTTAACCTGACGACTTTTACAATCAGGGTGGATGAAGCCAATTCGTCCCGTATCACTATCTCCAGCCTCACTGCCAACAACAGTAAAGAAAAGCTTTTCAACAGCTTCCCCTTTATTAAGGCAACTTTGTCTGTCACGTTCTGGTCCCAGGTTCCGGTTTGCGGCCTGTGCAAAACCACCCCGCACTGTCGTAGACTCCCGCACTTTTGCGACCTCACGACCCCTCAACGCTTTTCAACTGCAAACGTCGCAAAAGCGCAAAAAGGACAAGATGACTTCCGCCGCGACGACTCTTAAGGGCCAGCCCCTCGACAAGGCTGTCCTCGAATCTATCCTCCGACGTCGCATGTTTTACACCCCCTCCTTCGAAATCTACGGCGGTGTTGGTGGTTTGTTCGACTATGGCCCTCCTGGCTGCGCACTGCAGGCCGGTGTCATTGACATCTGGCGCAAGCATTTCATCCTTGAGGAGGATATGCTTGAGGTTGACTGCACTGTTTTGACCCCTCACGAGGTTCTCAAGACCAGTGGCCATGTCGATAAGTTCGCCGACTGGATGTGCAAGGACCCCAAGAACGGCGAGATTCTTCGAGCCGACCACTTTGTCGAGGCCATCCTTGAGGCCCGGCTAAACGGTGACAAGGAGGCCCGCGGCCAGAAGGTGGAGGACAAGGAGGAAGATCCCAAGAAGAAGAAGAAAAAGACAAAGACTGAAGCTGTGAAACTCGATGACGCCGTCGTCAAGGAGTATGAGGAGGTTCTCGCCAGAATCGACAACTACGGTGGCCCAGAGCTTGGCGAGCTCATCAAGAAGTACGATCTCAGAAACCCTGCCACTGGTGTCCAGCCCGCGGAGCCTGTCTCCTTCAACCTCATGTTCCAAACCTCCATTGGTCCCAGCAGCAACTACCCCGGCTACCTCCGCCCCGAGACTGCCCAGGGCCAGTTCCTGAACTTTGCCAAGCTCCTCGAGTTCAACCAATCTCAGATGCCTTTCGCCTCTGCCTCTATTGGCAAGTCATACCGTAACGAGATCTCTCCTCGTGCCGGCCTTCTACGAGTGCGTGAGTTCCTCATGGCCGAGATTGAGCATTTCGTCGATCCTGAGGGTGGAAAGAAGCACCACCGATTCCATGAGGTTGAAGATGTCGAGCTTGTTCTTCTTGACCGTGATACACAGCTGAGTGGCAAGACTACGACCAGAACTCTCAAGATCGGTCAGGCTGTCAAGGATGGTCTTGTTGACAACGAGACTCTGGGCTACTTCCTTGCCCGAATTCACTTGTTTTTGGAAAAGATTGGCGTGGATCTGACCAAGCTGCGATTCCGCCAGCACATGGCCAACGAAATGGCTCATTATGCCACCGACTGCTGGGATGCTGAACTCTTCACCAGCTCTGGTTGGATCGAGTGTGTCGGCTGTGCTGACCGAAGTGCCTACGACTTGAGTGTCCACGCCAAAAAGACTGGCGCCCCTCTGGTTGTCCGCGAGCAGCGCGAGACTCCCCTTGTCATTGAGGAGTGGCAAATCGACATCGAAAGGAAGAAGTTTGGTCCCCAGTTCAAGAAGGATGCCAAGACTGTCGAAACTGCTCTCTTGGCTACATCGCAAGAACAGCGAGAAAAGCTGGCCAAGGAGTTGAGCGACAACGGCAGCATCACTCTCGAAGTCGCTGGTGTTGGCGACGGCAAGGTCCAGGTTAACAAGGACTCCATTGCCATCGAGTTCCGCAAGAGGGTCGAGAACACTCGCGAGTTTGTGCCCAATGTTATCGAGCCCTCGTTCGGTATTGGCCGTATTCTCTACTCCTTGATGGAGCACAGCTTCTGGACTCGTGGCACCGAGGGTGGCGACGAAGCCCGTGGTGTAAGAACAAACCCCCCTGAATATGCATGATGAATTGCTAATACTTCAAAGGTTCTATCTTTCCCTCCCACTGTGGCCCCTACCAAGGTTTTGCTTGTTCCCCTCTCCTCCAACGCCCAGTTCAAGCCTCTCCTTAAGCAGCTGTCCCAACGTCTCCGCAGTGCCGGTATCTCCAGCCGTGTGGACGACTCTTCTGCCAGCATTGGTAAGCGATACAGCCGAAACGATGAACTCGGTACTCCTCTCGGCATCACCATCGATTTCCAGACAGTTCAAGACGGTACTGTTACCTTGCGAGATCGTGACAGCACCAACCAAGTCCGAGCGGAGCAGGAGAAGATCATCGATGCTATCAAGTCGCTTGTGAATGGCAGTAAGACTTGGTCTCAGATTGAGAATGAGCTCCCCAAGTTTGAGGGCCAGGAGGTTGAGGTTGCTCAACGATAGAATAGAAAAGTTTAGAAGAAATGTAATATAGATGCCGTAGTGGCTGAGCATTCATCAAAACGGTGAATGTCAAGGCAGGAGATGGAATCTGTCCAGTTGAGTCTACGAATCACAAGACAAGACACTGAAATTGGGTTTCAAGAGGAAAAGGAACGTTATATTATATCAGCTTCCAAAATTTCAGCTGATTTATGAACCATGCCTTCACCAATAGTTTTGTGGCCCTTGTTGGTCAACAGCGGGCCAAAAGACAGTTCGAGTTCTCCTGGATGCACATCATGCCAGTCATCCAGGGTTCAGGTGGAAAGTCAGACTCCCAGTGATCAATCAGTAAGCGACGTACAATGGCGGGAAGTTATTGCCCATCTACTTGGGTTCAGTAACTTTACTTCGCACTAAGTCGAAGGGTTCAATAATGAGTGTCTTGAGGTAGTGAAACGACTGGTATTTGACAAGGTCGCTGTTGGCTGAGTATACGAATTCTCCCTTGACTTATTGGAAAGAAGGAAAAGTTAATATAAAAACATACTACAGCATCTGATCCTGAATTCAAAAATTGGAGAAGCTGAGATTGGGTTGCAATGGCGGAGGGCCTATTACCTCAGTAGGTGACGGTGCATGATTGGTGGACTCGTGTTAAAACCCCACCACCTAGGATCAGCCTAGCTTCTTTTCTCTCTCCTACACATCCCACAATCAGCCAGTCCATCAACAGTCCATCAAATAATTCAATACGAACAACCCATACTATCAAAATCACCAGTTTTAATTGTTTCATCATGAGTTCTATGCAAGGAATCACCTTTTCAGAAGTATCCAAAGATGAACTTCACACCATACTTCACGCTATCATGAAAGAGGAGCTGGCGCCTATTACCGCGACGCTCCAACACATCCAGACCCAGCTCAACGATCTGACTGGACAATACCACAGCCTTGCCTAGCGTGTCGAAGGCCTAGAGGCTCGAGTACACCAAGAACGAGAGAAGACTGTGGTTTTTTTTCTGTCTAATATAAAAGCAATTAAAGAGACTAATTAATTATTCTTAGTCTACACTTACTCGCCGAACTTGACAAACGACAAACTTGACAAACGACAAACAAGGGTTTTCCTGGGATGCCGAGCAGACGGAGTGTTTCGGTTTCATCTTCTAGGAAAGCCACAACTGATTGAAACGTTCCTTCTGCATTTCCTAGACAGGACCATTTCATGGGGTTTTCAAAGAGTTTCTCAAGGGATCTGACAACATCAGAGATCCAGACACCAATGGCCGCTAGATGAGGAATGGTGGTGCGTGGCAAATGGGCGCTTGAAACGCAATAGGCGACCTTGGCACCAATAACCATGAGACAAGCAAGCCAACAGTATTCAGAACGCTAATAAAGCTTGATAAAGACTGAGATGAGGGGCAATCGTTATGTATCATGAGTTGACCAGGAGTTTTAGTTTTATCAACAATGTGATAAATCTTCCAAGCTGATATCTAGTTGCCGAGATCATTACCTACAGTACTAGATGAGGCAGCTGGAGATTTCACTTTGGCCAACAGCGGCCCGTGCCATGACCGCTGGTACTTGTATTGACTCAAGATTGGGTTGGACTTGTGATCAGCACAAAGAAAGGTGGGGCATTATGGGATCTTTTTCAATCCCTTAAGTTTAGGTACGGAGTACGGAGTAGCTCTCAGGAAACTGCAATTGAAGCTAATGTGAGCTGAACTCCTCTGCTTGTGTGCTCGTGTCGCTGTCTTGTAGTCTACCTTAGTTACTAGGTAGTTGTCCACCTTAGGCGTCAGTAGACAAGGCACATGTAGCAGAGATTACATCCAACCCATGAGACTCTCGATCAGAACCTCACCTCATGCACGTTAAAAAGTCCCCCAGGTTCACCATCTTATCCAATGCAAGTAATTGGACCCTATCACCTTCAAGAAGCAACGGGCATGCATTGGCAATCCGGAATCCAGGGGTCAAGTTCCACTAGACGGAAGTCTTAGGTGCCTTACCTGAGGAAGAATTGGAGCCCAGCGCCCAGCTAAGGTAAGGTATTTAGCGACAGTGGAGGCACTGACCACGCTGCCCGCCACCATCGATTCCATGAATTATAAGTTACAACGAGGAGCTGGGGCAACAACAACGCTGCGGGCAGGTGCAACTGGAACGCCACTGGAACTCCCCCGTCACTCTTCATCTGACACTTCTGCGGCGGGAGAATATCTCAGCGCTGGGGAACTAGGGGTCATTTAATCCTCCTTCCCCACCTTTCTTCGTTTCCTCCTTCTCCTGCTCATTCTCTGAAGGTGGTCCAAACTTGGAAGGCCGCTCCCTGACCCAAACCCACCTGGCTTTTCGTTCTCATGTATCCATCCAGTATTTCTTGTTCTCCCTCATAACGTCAAACTCGCCTGTGCTTTTTGCGGCTTCTGGTACTTCAGCACCAGCTGTCAACAAAATTAAACTTGCTTCTCGTCGCCGTCTTCCTGTCCGTTTTGCGGCTACGTGCGTTATCCATTATCCCAGCACAGTCCCGCTCGCCCACCTCCACTCCAATCTACCTAACCCCCGTGCTTGTCACTGACGAGCTTCCTTGTCTACCTACCTTTACTCTGAGTCTGACCCTGACCGCTGCTCCGACACGATTTTCGAATACATGACCTCTCCATCCGGTCGCTGAGAAGGCCTTTTCCTGTGCCCAAGATCAATCTTTGTTTGATCTCTGTTTGGGTGCCCTCCCACATTGTCGAAACCAGACCGCCCAGAACCCCTGTGAGCGCTCCTGAGTTGGTTACCTCCCGTCCACCGCTCGCTATTAGATCTGGGAGCCAGCAAGCGTACGACCCGCCATATAACCTACTTATATATCGATTTCAGACGGTCTTATTCTTTCTAGTCACCATCAGATAATTCTTACTGCGCTTCGCAGTTCAAGTAATTCAAGATGGCTCAAAACAGGTACGTTGCTTCTCCTTGGGTCTGTGACATGAGGGCGCGCCTCATAGCAAAGAGGCGGGGTGAAAGTTCTCCCTTTGAGCGACACTCGCACGCTGCTCCGTAAAGCCATTATATCGCCTTGATAGATTGATGTCATGCCAATCTTTCTTTCATATTTCTTGACGCCGCTGGGATCTACTTTTGGAATCTGTGGCGGCCCTCTTGAAGAGGGGGTTCCTGGCTGTCAGCAACCAACAACACGAATAAGATTGCTTCTCAACTTCAGCAACTAACGATACGCAGTATGTACTCGTCCGGCCAGTTCATGAATCCGGGCCCTGCGCCTCGGCCTCCCACCGATCGACCGCGTTTGAACCTAACGCCCAATGCCAACCTTCCAGGAAGCATGGCCAACATGGCTATTTCCCCCATCCGAAGTACTGCAACCTCGACGTACACCGGCTCAACCATCTCGCTTCCGATCGCCCGCCAACAGTCCAACAATACCGATGGTCTGGGTGGAGTCGCTGTCAAGAAGGAGGGTTGGGCGTCAGTCAAGGAGAGCAAGAATTTTATTCAACCCTGGAAGCAGAAGTACCTAATTCTCCGCAAAGAGTCGCTCGATTTTCACAAGACCGAGGGTGGTAAGGTTTCGTACACGCTTTACCTGAGGGATGTAGTCAACGTCGGACGAGTCGAAGCCGCCGGTACCATCTTCGAGATCAAGCGCAAACCAGATGGTTCGTCTAACAGCCCCGGCGACGACGACGGTCAAACCAAAACCCTACAAATCAAGGTAAAGAGTGACGATGACTTATATGAGTGGATCGACTTTATCTACGGCGCTTGCCCAGGCATGGGCGGAGTCAGCAACCCTACTAACTTTTCTCACGCCGTGCATGTTGGTTTTGATCCAAAGACTGGTGAATTCGTCGGTTTGCCACCAGAGTGGTCGAAGCTCCTTAACTCATCAGCCATCACTAAAGAAGATTATGAGCGCAACCCTCAAGCAGTCTTTGAGGTTTTGGACTTTTACACCGATCTCGCCAAAAGGGCTGAGAATCCCAATCAATATCCCAGCTTGACACCAACTCCTCCTGCCCAGAGCCAGGCCAACAAACAGCTGGGATATGGCAGTGGTGCATCTGTGGCACCTCCTCGACCTGCGCCGCCAGCCGCTTCTCAGCGCCCAGGTTACAACCCTTCTCCTGTCCAACCCAATCCCAATGCTCCCCGTCGCCCTGCCCGCCCTGATGAGCGCCCTGCTCAGCAGGATCAGCAGCAACAGTACCAGCAGCGCCAGCAGATGCAACAGATGTCCCCTAATTACGTCTCTCAGGATGCCCTGAGAGAGGAGCAGCGTAAGAAGCAGCTGGAGGCTCAGAGACAGCGGGAGCGCGAAATTGAGGAGCAGAACAGACGCGACCTTGAAGCCTACAACGCTTCTCTTCCCAAAACCAAGGTTCCGCTTGCCCAGCAGGAAATTGGTGGTGGTTATAGCTCATCACCTTCTCCCCAGCCCAACCGCTACAATCCAACCCGAGCAGCCCCACCTGCGCCAAAGGCCTCGCAACAGCAGAGCAACCTCCAGGCGCAGCGGCCTGCTCCTTCACCTCCTACCACTTCTCAGCGACCGCCTCTAGCCTCTCAGCCTAGCTCCAGTACTCTAAGGGATCCTTCTCAGGCGCAGCGAACTCCTCGCGCCGACAACGCCGCACCTCGTTATGCCAATGGAAATCAGGCTTCGCAGCCTCGACAGCCGCAGCAACAGACTCAAGCATCGCGCTTACCAGCTCCCGTCAAGCCTCTGAATGTTGCACCCAAGCCCAGTCAATCCCAGCAGCAGGCTGATGGCGTTAAGGCTGCCGAAGCTGCTTTAACTGCCAAGCCATCGCCTTCGGAGCGTAAACAGGATGTCAGAATGTCTACTATGTCCGAGAATGAGGTTATGGCCAAGCTTAAGGAAGCCGTTTCGAAGGACGACCCGAACATCTCCTATTCCAAGCAGAAGAAGATCGGACAGGGTGCATCAGGGTCTGTCTACGTTGCTAAGATTAAGGAGACAGCTGTGGGCATTGCCCGCGATATTCTGCGTGCCCAGGGCCCTCGGGCCCAGGTTGCCATCAAACAAATGGACCTCGCTCACCAACCTAGGAAGGAGCTCATCGTGAACGAAATCATGGTTATGAAAGACAGCCGGCACCGCAACATTGTTAACTTCTTGGATGCTTTCCTGCGCAATAACAACGCAGAGCTCTGGGTTGTTATGGAATTCATGGAGGGAGGTGCTCTCACTGACGTGATTGACAACAATCCATCCATCTCCGAGGAGCAAATCTCGACTATTTGCCACGAGGTATGTCCATTGGCTCTTCCACACTGTAATTGCTGACACCCATAGACTTGCCGCGGATTGCAGCACTTGCATTCGCAGAATATTATTCACCGTGATATCAAGAGTGACAATGTTCTACTCGACGCTCGTGGAAACGTGAAAATCAGTAAGCCGATCACCAGTCATATGAACAAGTCCACGATGCTGACATGTCTGCAGCCGATTTTGGTTTCTGCGCCAAGCTTACGGAGACAAAGTCAAAGCGAGCCACCATGGTGGGAACCCCCTATTGGATGGCCCCCGAGGTTGTCAAGCAGAAGGAATACGGTCCCAAGGTCGATATCTGGTCTTTGGGTATTATGGCGATTGAGATGATAGAGTCCGAGCCGCCATATCTTAACGAGGAACCTCTCAAGGCTCTCTACCTAATCGCAACAAATGGAACTCCTCGGCTCAAGAAGCCTGAGAAACTGAGCAAAGAACTGAAGGCATTCTTGTCTGTCTGCCTGTGCGTGGACGTTAAGAGCCGTGCCTCTGCTGATGAGCTCCTGGCTCATGACTTTTTGCGTCACGGTTGCCCATTGGCTAGCTTGGCAGATCTTCTTGCTTTCAAGAAGCACGCCAAATAAGAGGGCGCACACGAGAGATATGTGAGGAGTGGGCGCTCATGTTGCAGCCCGACATTTTGAATGAGGTACCGAAGCAAGGCGATGCATATATTCCCCCACAGATGGTGTTTTTCTCTCTTGGCGTTTACGGGCGAAAGTTCTTTGGCACCTCGCACTTGGCAAAGACGTTGCCTATGTGCGGATGTCTCTACACCTACTTGGCGGCATTTAGCCACATTGTCCAAGAAGTCTCCCTACGCGGTATCGATGATGATGACATGCGATGAAAGCTCGGACAAATACCCAATGTACTAGGAGTCGGGTGACATGAGGGACTGGATGAAAACTTTTTAAAGAAAAGACTGAACATGGGAAGACCGTCTGCCCTGGCCATGACACGACAGTGACATTTTGAGCGCAATTGGGAACTATCAGGCGCAGAAGAGTCACTTTGAAAGAGCATAATCAAAGGGCAACGTATATAGAGAAAATATGAAATCGGGTGACAGCAATACATATCCTGGATGTCTGTGAACGAGTTTTCATCTGTTGTAGTTGTTGAATCTGTTCTGTGTACAGAAATCTGAATCTTTCCCGGGAGTGGATGATCTTTACAACATATGGATGTTTATAGCACATCCAGGCCAACTGCTCCCTTTCGTTTAACATTGTGACTCCTGATGGTGCCGTGTTAATCTTGAGTCGAAGAAGATAGTCAACGACTATACCGAGGTTGGACAATTTCTAAAATAGTGCCCGGGGATTGCGGGCCGCTATCTGAGACATGGCCCAGAACCAGCAACGAAACTTGAACAGGGAGTGTTGGTGATAGCTCTGGGAACACCACTGATAAAGAGGGGGGATGGTAAGAGCTGTGTTTCGAGATACTCATGATAACCCCTGAGCTGCCACTTTGCGGGTGTTGTATGTACGGGTAGGGAGTCGAAAGACAGGGGGTTACAGTAAGGCTTGTTTCATCAAGAGACTAATAGATCCTCCAACAACAAGGTGCAGAGTCACGATTGGCTCTGCTGTTAACAGGGGGCTGAAAGGGAGATGGAGAGGTGTCATCAGTGCAGCCAATCGGAGTGTGCTTCTGCAATAGCATGAAAATGACAAAAATAAAAATAAAAATAAAAAAATAATAAAAAAAGGTAGAACTATGAGAATGTCGAGTAGTGTAGAGTTGAGATAGACGGCGGCTGGCGGATCAAATTGAGAAGGCAATATTCGAGTCGGTGCTGAATGTTACGAGTGAGTTGAGAGCACTAAGTCGTGGAATCTCAAAGCCGAGTGACAAGCAGGAGAGTAACAACCCTTCAAGTATTGGAGAAGCTTTGTTTGCTTGTCGTGAAAGGTTGCAAGGCAGAATAGGGGATACCTACTTTGATACCACATAGGACCCATGTGGTATTGTCAAGTATAGTACAAGTTGGCGGGAGTGACAGGACTGACATACAAACTTACCTAGAGAGAGAGCGAGAGAAATGGCTTGCTTGGCGGCCAGCCCCTTAACCCCCTCACTACTACTTCATTGACTTCTAAGACGGCAATGGAGGAAACCCATTTCAGCTCTTCCGCGGTATAACTTCGACTAGAGGATGTATTTGGCAGAGTTCCCGATGCACAGTGCCGTAAATGCTCGGATGCTTGCCGACTTCTGGATATGGATATCCATGGAGTATGGATGTGGAGAAACAGAACAAAACATATTTGATAAACAGAACAAAGTAGAGCCGGGGACAGCAGTTGAGAGGCGGATACGGATACAAAGTTGAAGATGTCCTGGCGAGCTAGTTTCAACTTGAAAGCTTCCGGGTCGCTTATTGGGATAAGAGACTCAAACTGAGTCCTTACGAAACATCCATTGATAGATGCTCTGAAAATGTTCATTGTGGGGGACCATGTTAGAATTTACCAGCAGCTACGTAGTATGGTCCTCACCTGGAGGAGACATAAAAGCTTAGGGCCTCTATCCTAAGTGATAAAAAGACTTGGGTCAGTTTAGCATACACATAGGTAGCTCAATAGATCTTTAGACTACCTAGTAGTTATTTCTGGCACCTTGGTAGAAAGCCGGACGTTTTTGCTGCCCTGTGTCTGCCACTAATATCTGGAAAGGAGATTAGGAATGGTTGCAACTCATGTCTCGGATTGTTTGTTATAGCTCAAAGTCAATGGCTAGTCAACAAACCCGTCAGAAACAAGTAGGAGATGGCATTAGGTTTCGTACCTGAACCCGTCTATGCGGGTAGCCCTCCGGCATCTCGAACCATCAGATCTTGGCTGAATCAATGGGCAGGCTCACCAACCAACAGACACCGCTAGGTATCGAGTGTAAGGGCCTTGGGCAGTGGGTAAGTCACTTTCATAGGTAGCAATTGAGTGAACAGCCGCGGAACTGGGCCAAAACCGCTGCAATACCTACTTACATATATGACGAAGCTGGACGCGTATACAGTCCTCGGGCTGACAAGAATGCCACAGCCTGCTTGCAAGAAACTTTGTTAACAATGAACACGTCGAGTTATCCGTTTCTTTGGGGGCGCTTCGCTTGAGCTTCCAGCCCACTAAAAAGCGTCTTCTAAAGCAAAATCTGACGGAACGGTGGCTTCTCCTGCCCCCTCCATCGTTCTTGCCTGGCTACCTTAGGGGGTGAAAGAAGACATAGACATCAATTACAAGTGACAGAAATCCTGGACCAGTTTCAGTGCGATAGAGGTGGACTTCAGACTGTTTACTTTTTGTATCCTCATTCCAGGCCTCAAGTCTGTTTGCACCCCGGCTAGCAGTTGGCAGGGCAGGGCAGGGCAAGAGTAGCCTTAGTCAGGTAGGTAGTTTAGCGGGCAAGCCCATGTCCAGCCAGGTACGGGCAGGTACCAGTACAGTGCTCTAAACTCCCGTCCGTAGGTACCTACCTAGGGACAGCACCTTCCAAGGCCTTTCCTTCCCGCTCACCTCCTCGCACATCGCACATCACATATCACACAACCCTCCTTCTTCGACTCCTCCTCCTTCTTCCTTCCTCACCCCCCGTTTGTGCCCCATTCCCCATAATCGCGCCGCTCGTCTCGTCTGCTTCTCCAGGCCCAGTCAAAAAATCTTCCTTTTTTTTTGTACTTCTTCAATGAGGCCTGTATATTGATCATATCTTTGTTTGTGCCCTCCTGCCCTCCGCCCGAAATAGTCTCCTTATTACATTCCCTTGTCTTTTTTTGCGCCCTCTCTCAAGCCGCGGGCTCGGACGACGCTGGACGACCTTTGTCCAAATCCACATCCACACCTAAATCCACCTCAATTGCATCTTCGTCCGAGCAGCAGTTTGCTTTGCTTGCCCTAGTCCCCTCGGTCTCTTCAGCTATAGAATAACGACCCTGCTCTCGGCTCAGGCAGGCCTTCTCCCATTCGCACGAGCATCCTTTGTAATACCGGCGGTTCCTGGATTTTCTCTTGTTCGCATCGCGCTCCTTAAATCCAGCCCCCCGTTTCTGTCGAATACGCTCGAACCTCCACCGACGCTTCCACGTTGTCATCTCCCTCGTCCATCGTTCCGAGGTCGTCGAAAACACAGCTACTAGACTGTTCTCGCCCAGCGACTTTCTACTTTAGGGGTTGTCTTTTTTGCCGTTAGAAACGTCTAAACGTTGATTCCTTGGGCGATTCATCAATTATCGCCGCTGAGAAATAATAATCAACTATCCGGCCCGACACTTGCTTGTGTCACCGTCTCATGAGGTCGGCTAGATAATCGATAATGTCAACTTCTAGATCCGAACATTTGGCTCTCGGCTACGCCTCTCAGTCTGGCAGCCAACCTCGTTCTGGTTCCCCATCCGCCAGCAATTCCCCTATCGATCCCCTTCCGCCTTCTCGTTCTCCATTCGGCTTGTCTGGTGGTCTCAACCCTTCAAGTAAGATGGCGGGCAACTCGCGATCTGGGGCTGGTTCTCCGTCGCACGAACTCCCTGGTTCAAGCCGTCTATTCTCCAAGAGGTTCGTCTGCCCCCAAACCGTGTTTTCTTACCCTTCCCCACCCTGGGATACCGACCTTCCCTAGGTTTCAACCCGATGCTCTTCTCATCCGTTCATGGTGCCGACACTGACTGGTCCCACCCTGTAGAGCCCGCGAGATCCAGGCCCAAGAAGGAGTACCTGGTATGCCGGGAAGCCTTTGGGGCGGCCCCCCTACGAGCGGCAATTCCACGCCACTACGTGAGAATATTCCCGAGTCCCCAACCGATGGTTTCCCGGACTTTGCCCAGCTTCCTACGCCGGATTCAATGCCTCAGACAAGGCGCGCTCGAGCCGGAACGGTGCCATCTCGATTCTCTCCTGGAGGTGCAGGTAACGGCATGATCGGTGTTCCTGGCCTAGCTGCCAAGACAAACAGGCCCACGCCAACTCAGAGCCCTTTCAAGTCGCCCTCTCCCAATCCTGATGGACAGGAGAATAGTTCCAGTAGCTCAACCTTGCTCTCTCGACTCCGTGCCGGTTCCATGCCTCAGAGGAGTCAGTTTGCACCAATTCCTGGAACTAGCTCGCCATTCGGTCCCTCTATCTTCAGCAGCTGGAATCCTACAGGTGTGGGACGCGAGCGAGCGTCCACTTTGGCTAGCATTGCCAGTGTCGGCTCTAACGGCCCTAGCTCGCCAGCTCAATCTCAATTCTCAAAAGAAGGAGGTGGGGAGTCCGATGTTCATATGAGAACCTTGGACTATCTCGGCCTTGCAGAGACCCCACAGCCTCCCCGAGCACAGCTCGCTACTCCTTACCTGGCCAATCTCGACTTCACGAAGCAAGCAAGCCGTTTCCGATCTTACTCGGTCAATAACAAGGACAAATATGCCGATGACGAAGACGATTACGACACTGAGATGCCCCTCGACCCCCAGTATGTGGCAGCTCTGCAAGATCAGCTGGCCGCTACCAACGCTGCGATTCATAACCACAATCTCGCTGTTCAGGCTTTTGCCAACCAGGCCAATCGCCCTCGTGCCCGTACCGCTGGCGTCTTGGACACTCCTGGAAGTCGACTTATGAGAACATACATGTCCGGCAACTCCAACCTGTCTAACCCTGTGGCCCCTGCTGAGATTCGACTCCAAGACGAGAAGGATTATGAGGATCTTCCTCAAGCCGTTGCTGGGATCAACCTCGGCAGATCCAACAGCCGTAACGCTGGTCTCCTCAGTGCCGACGAGCAAGGTCTTGAGGGTCCTACCAGCGCACTCTGGCTCGGTAGCATTCCCACTTCCACGACCACTTCCACATTGATTGAGATGTTCAAGTCTCACGGTCCTATCTTGTCAGCTCGTGTCCTCACTCACAAGAATTGCGGGTTCGTTAATTTTGAGAGGGTGGAAAGCGCCATCTCTGCCAAGGCAAGCATGAATAGCAAGGAAATCTTTCCCGGTGCTGGTCCCATACGTATCAACTTCGCCAAGCCTCCATCTGCTTCCAACACTCCCGGTCACGACGGAGTCTTCCCCTCCCCTAGCCCGGACCCATTTGCGAAGGGACAAGATAACGTCCAGGGAACGAACGCCAGTACCCCTGCGGGCGATACTACCCCCGCCATTCCCGCCACAAACGCAACCCCTAAGGCTCCTGCTCTCCGTGATATGACCACTGATATTCTCGATATTGTCAAACAATTTGGCGCGTCCGAAGAGGATAGATTCAGAATCTCTCGTAACCTGCAGTCGGCCATTCAGTTCAACTCGTTTGTTGAGGAAATCCCGCCTATCCGCGAGCCTGCTCACACTCGTGTTCACGATGCACCCAAGCTTCGGGATATCCGCAAGCGAATTGATAACCAGAGCTTGTCTCAGGCTGAAATTGAGAATATCGCTGTGGACATGCTTCCGGAGATTGCCGAACTCTCGTCCGACTATCTTGGTAACACCGTGGTACAGAAGCTTTTTGAGCACTGTTCCGATCAACTCCGCGATGCCATGCTGTCCGAGATTGCGCCTCACATGGCTGAGATTGGGGTGCACAAAAACGGTACTTGGGCGGCCCAGAAGATCATTGATGTCTGCAAAACCCCTGCACAGATGTCTTTGATTGTTGAACACATCCGCCCCTACACTATTCCTCTTTTCCTGGACCAATACGGCAACTATGTTCTCCAAGGCTGTCTCAAGTTTGGTGCTCCCTACAATGATTTCATCTTTGAGACTATGCTTGCCCGCATGTGGGAGATTTCACAGGGCCGATACGGTGCTCGTGCCATGAGAGCATGCCTCGAGAGCCACCACTCCACCAAGGACCAACAACGAATGCTCGCTGCTGCCATTGCCCTGAACAGCGTGCAGTTGGCAACCAACGCTAATGGTGCACTACTCTTAACCTGGTTCCTTGACACTTGCACTTTTCCCCAACGTCGCACAGTTCTCTCGCCCCAGCTAGTGCCTTATCTGGTTCATCTCTGCACCCACAAGGTTGCCTATCTCACAGTGCTCAAGGTCATCAACCAGAAGGCAGAGGCGGATGCACGCGATGCCATCCTTCAAGCTTTATTCTTCACGCCTAATGACCAAGTACTTGAAGCCATCCTTAAGGACCACCAATGCGGTGCTACACTGATCTTCAAGGTCCTTACCACGCCCTTCTTCGACGAGTCTATCCGCAACCAGGTTGTTGAAAATGTCAAGAATGTTCTTCTGCGAATCAAAGCCCAGCCCAACCAAGGTTACAAGCGCCTGATGGACGAGGTTGGCCTGTCGACTCGCAGCACCGGTAGCAACCGTGATGCTAGTACACATGCTGAGCACCGCCAACGTCCATCCTCGCGACAGGCAAACTCGAATGGCCATCATCCCAACTCTGCTCACTCTAATAAGCCTTTCTATAACCCCATGAACCAATCAACTAACCCTCCCGGGTTTGATATGCCCTATGGCGGCCAGAGAAACGAGCCTGCTGATGGCGGCGTTTCCGCATTCCCTCAGTTCAACCAGAGCATGATGTATAACGCACCCGGAGGCCCAATGCCTGCCAACTTGCAACAAATGCAGTACCAGCAGATGATGAACCGAGGGCCGCCCCCCATGAATTTCAACTACCCTACTATGCAGGCTGGCTATGGTGGCTTCAATGGTCCCAACCCGCCTGTTGACCAGTACCGCCAACAGAACATTCCGAATGGAAGTCCTATCCAGCCGCCTGTTTCACAGATGCCCCAGATGCCCGCTGGCCAGACTCCATTTGCACCCCCAGGATTTGGCATGGGAATGGGCAACTATGGTTATGGTAACATGGGAAGTATGCCCAACATGGGATACATGCAGCAACAGGAGCAGGGTAACCCTCGACGAGGCCGCGTAAGACAACCTCAGTCACGCAATGGGCAACAAAGAAGAGGGGGCTAATCAACTATTTTCAGAGATGATCAAGTAAACCGCAGTTCGCGCACCGCGTCGGGTGGCCCACACCATATTCGATGGGCCTTTGGGGTTAGTTCTCGTTTTTCAAAATCATTTCTAGCATGCAGCCATTGGGGAGCTGGAGCGGCGTTTTAGGAATGGCTACGGATGCGCATTCCAAAGACGACCGTGTTTGTCATAGTGACTCGGCTAAGGCTGACGTTTTTCGCCCGTTACTTGGATGTCTTGTCCTCTTGTTTCGATACCTACCTCCCTTCTACTTCTCGCGGAGCTCGTCTCAGGCCGGTCTTGAAAGTTTTGCAACAAGAGATAGAGGAGAGGCAGGGTTACTTCTACGACTGAACGAATCTGGAAAACCTGAAAAACTCTAAAACAGAATAAAACACTACGATTCTTGTTCAAAACGGCAGTTGGGTATAGGTCTGTTGTCACTGTGGAGCCATTGGTGGCTCCGTCTGTGATGAGTCCTTTTTATAGGTCTGGCCCAGCCCGACGTCAGCGTTTGATGATAGACACGATGATAGGCTTGGGGATGGACTGTTTGAGGCATCAAGGACGATGCCAGGATTTCATCTTGCAACCCTTGGGTAGGAGTGGCTAACCTTGCAAGCCATGCCTCCTAGAGGTTTGTTGTATATTAAAACTAAAAGATTTGCAAGAGCCTCCTGACGTATCTACGTCTTTGAGCTTTTTACGACTTAGCAATTGATGTTTTTATGGAGTTTCTGTGGTGCACAACTGGGATCGAAGATGTCTAGACTTGCGGTACATCATGATATTGGCATCGGGTGCACCCTGAAAATTTAAGCAGACTTCAGGGACAGACTTTTCTGACATTTTGTACCACATCACGTTTCGTCGGGGGATGGCCAGTCTTGAGATGATGAAGAATCATGTATCTCGTCTTCTGTCTCATATCTCTCTCATATTGACAAATACTTCTATCGCACCAGCCTCTGAATCCGTCCCGGGTGGCTGAATCGATCAATGTCGCTTTTTCTCCTCATCAACTCTCAACTATGATACAAACAAAGAGTAGTTAGTGCAGCGCTGGTTCACCTCGAATCCACCCTGTTGTCTACTAGCTGCTACTAATGTCATGTCCACCATCAACTGGGTAATCAAGGGTGGTTTCGTGCATGTTATAGAAATTGGAAAGAAAGAAACAAAGGGGGGATGAGGTAAGGGCACCGATCAGACGATGCTTGGGCTTTTTGTGATGCTCAGAGGCGGGGTGGTTGTGTGTGTGTTTTGGTTGCCTTTGGGTTACGGTCCTCTTCAGACGAGATGGGAATAACAAGGCGGAATTGATGGAGACAAAGAGCATCTAGATCGTCTCTATAACCATGGTTCGTGATTCAAATAGCGAAGCCCTCCAAACTCCGGCGATCCATAATCAAAAGGGTCGCGCGAAAAGAAGACAGCACTGCAGATAGTGGTTGCGTAATGTTACGCTAGGCGCTTGCATAGATACATGCAAAGGTTGAAGAAATCCGTACAAAGGTCCTGTTTGATTCCTCCGATAATGAATTAGGATAGGGAAAAGACTATGGTAAATTCGAACAGAGAACCGATCGTATCGCAATTACTCTTTGTGAATGTCAGGTAGAAACTCAAAAGAGACAGAGAGAGCTGTGGTTGTTCAGTCGAGATCCATAGAGCCTTCAGCGTGGTCAATGGTAGAAGGGGGCGTGGGCTCCGTGACAGGATGTGCCGTAACCTTGTCGAGTGGCTCAGCAATGGCTGAGTCTTGGGGGGAAAGGATGCTCGGTATGACATCCTGGTCTTGCATGGTAGCGGAAATACCAACAGGCTCCGGCTCGCCAAGCAGGTGTCTAATGCGAGCCCCCATGGAATCCATCTGATCCAGAAGGACGCGCAGACTAAGCTTGTCGCTCTCTGTCAAATGACCAGTAGATAGATTACTGGCATCTGCCTTAGCCATGAGTGACAAAACACTGGCATCAGCTGTCTCCTGTTGATTGATTGATCGTCAGTAAGGTGACACGTGTGGTGAGGGAATTTCGTTGCAACGACTTACCACAAGGGCCGTGATCAGTTGGTCAACGCCGTCTGACTTGCGCTCTTTGAGACTGGTCAGGGTCAATGCTAACTGCATTTCATCGACAGTCCGCTGTAACTCGGAGCCTGCAAGAGGTCGACTTCGGTCGCTTCCAGTTGTTGGAATATACGACACCCATCTGGACTCATCATGGCGAGGGCCATAGCCAGCATGTTGACGACGTAGCCTGGACGGATATTAGAAAGTTGCATATGCGAAAACAAGTAATGGACCTACTGCTCAATAAAATCAAGGACAATGCCCTTTGCTGGTAGTTTGTAAGCTCGACCGAACGAGTCAGGATCCGGCCAGCCGGAGTTGTTCGCGGGCTCGGGCTCATCTTCCCAGTCAATTTCAATGTGTCCGTTGTTCTTGGTACCGCGTGAGAGAGCTGGTACGATGGTCTGCGATCCTTTGATCTTGCGAAAACGGTGAGCAGGTGCCAATGAGCGGACCTCGGCCATTATTTCCTCTGGATGTAGAGGGCATCGCCAGGTCTTGAGGACAGGCGGGACAGCGAGTGGAGGATCTAAGCAGTCAATGTGCCAGTAGAAGGGACAAATGCTACAAGGAATGATGGCTCGAACATCTGTGGCAGGCTTTTGACAGCCGTGGCAGATCACAGCCTGTCCTTCATCGCGCTGCTTGAAAAAGTCCGGCAACTCTTCGTAGCCATTCTTCCTCCTGAGCCTTTGTCAGCACGTCTAGAATTGAAGTTCCTATTGGGAATATCACTCACTTGGTCGTTTTGATGGTGGTGGCTTCTTCATACTCGCCATAGGCACCAGCCTTGACGCCTTCAAAGCGGGTCTGCAATTTCTTAGGGAGGCTGAATGCGCGAGGAATGCTCTTCTCCAGGTTGATGAGGGCAGCGGCAAACACACCCTTGTACGGGGGCATGCGCGATGGGTATTGCTTGTACAAGCACTCATTGCAAAACCACTCGTCGGGAAGATGGTCCGAGGTTATCATGCCCACACATTCAAAGTGGAATGACCGTGGGCATCCATCGCAGCAAACAACATCGCCAGCGGCGCCGCAGGCAGAGCAATCTTCGTCGTTGTCCGACACCTAGAGAAAGGGGGTAGAGTTAGCCAAAAGCGAGCCATGCTAAATATACTCAATTCAGCCTGTACAATTCGATACGACACGATGCGCTACGCGTTTCAACACGTCCCTGGCTCTCTCTGGTCACCGGCTCCTGGTTGCTGATTCAACTGCTGGGGGCTGGCTCGGAAAAGCGGATCTTCGGGGGCCACCAGAAATTACCCCGTACAGTAGTGAGTGGTAGGCCATCTTGGCCAAGGCCCGGCAAGACAAGGCCCAAGGTACAGAGTCGCAAAATTGGCCACCATCTGGTGAATTTCCCACCAAAGTCCATGATGTTGGCGACCCAATCTTGGTGGTTAAGTCCAGGGCGCGTGTCGCGAATTTGCACAACATGAACGAATGAGCACAAAACAAAAAATACATACCTGATCTTTGGCTACGCCGTTGGTTGCTAGGACTTCTCCTTGTGGCCGAGGGACACCAGCAGCTGTTCCTCCTCTTTTCTTGACAGGGCTAGAAATCATATATGGTTAGCATGATCCGACCAAAGCAGAATGATGATGAAATGAGGGAGTCACGGCGTAGTCATCCCGGGCAAAACCTTGAGGCTGATGATAAGACAAGCCAAGAGTCAAAGACATGGCATGAATGATCTCTCACGCGCATCCATGAGTCTCATCCAAAGGTGCAAGCAGAGAGAGCGATATGCAGATGACAATAGTCGTGAATTTTGTGATGCACGCCAAGTAGCTGGTGATGAAGATGATGATTGGGATGTAAACTTACGATGACTTGATACGAAGGCCAGTTCTCGGCTTCTTTGGGGGGCGTAGCGTGGGCGTCGCAGCCCGTGATCCTCCGACTGAGCTGTCCTCACGCTGGAAAGACCACGCAACAGGGGACACGGCAGAGTCAATCTCGTCGTGAGGTCTCTTGCTCGCCGACCGCGTGGATCTCGTCGTTCCCGCTGAAGCAGAGCCTGCGGCGGCGATGGATTGACGCGTCTTCCTCGTCGATTTTGCGGGAGTTGTGAAGGGGTCCTCGTCTTCGTCTCCCCCTCGGATAGAACTCTCAGTCGCCGTGACACTGTTGGCAAACTTTTGCGCATCGCGTCTCCGATCCCAGAAGGAGTCGTCGTTATCATGGCCAGCGTCATCAGCCGAGAATGGAGCTGGAGCCAGGGCAGATGATCCCTTGTTCTTTGCTGTCTTTGATTTCGTAGGCAGGTTTGGGAAGATTTGGCCAGCAGAAACCCTTCCTGGCATACTGGCGTCGGCACTCACGCTGATGGTCGCACTTGCGGGTGCATCAGTGGGTTTGAATTTGATGCTGTTGGTGATGTCTGAGGTGGACAGTGTGGGAGCTGGGGGTGATGGCTGCTTAGTAGCAGCAGGCTTGTTGGTCTTGGGCTTGGCCTTGCTACTGGCACCTCCCTTGGAGGCGAGTGATTTGCGGCGGGTGGTGATTGGCCGAGATTTTGGCGCATCACTGGAGTCGGGCCCAACTGGCCCAGGGCGACTGGTGCCAGTGCCTGTTCGACGAACAGGGCTTGGGCTGCCCATTATGGCCTCAGGCGACGAGAGGCTGAGGGCTGATGAGAGAGAAGAATCACTGGATGCTGAGTCTCGTCTGTTTCGCTTGCGCGAGGGTGTTTGGGGTTGGTTACTTGAAGACATTTTCCGTGGCGTGTTGCGGGTCGAGTGAGGGTGGGCGTGAGTCTGAGTATGGGGATGGGTATTGCTATGATGGGAAGAAGAGTGAGCGCGAGAGTGAGATGTCTTTGCCCTCTTGGTAGCTCGAGCTGGATGTCGATGAGCGTTTTTCACTTGCTCTGCTTCCTCCGAGTCGAGAATATGCACCTCTGACTCGTCTTCAGTCTCTACCTCTACTACTTCGACCACCTCTTCCACCTGATTGTGATGCAGGAGTTTGCCGTACGGCGCGGCCTTGGGTTTGTGAGGAGTGAATCTGCTGTTGGTCGTTGGAGGGATGAAATAGTAGCAGCCTTGGTTGTCCTTCTTGCCCTCTCGCTTCTTCTTCTGCATCTCTCTGGAAAACTTTTGCATCGTAGCCTCATCTGCCGTTTGCGTGAATACCTCCTCGATCATGGCAACGAACCGCGGGTCGCTTGATCTTTCGTCGTAGAGGGTCCGCAGAGCCCACGCGGTCGGATATCGATAGTGCTTTAGGGCTTCGTCCACTGCAGCCTCGACGACCTTATCCGTAAATTCTTTGTCTTCAGGTTCTACAGGTTCAGCTGCGTGAATCGTCGCCTCTGCTGTGATTGCCCCTACTGCCTCCAGCTCCTCATCCTCCTCGACCTCCTTGAAAGACTTTGCTAGTTCCGCTGACTTTGCAGTCTTCTTCGGCTCCCTCTCCGACTCTCTGCGCTCCTTTGCCTCCTTTACTGTGGGCTTAGTCACGATGGAGCTTCTGCGACCGGCAGAGGAGCGTCGCGACCGTCTTCCCAGAGATGTGCGGCCTGATTGTCGTCTCTTTGGTCGACTCGGGTCGTAGTCTTCGTCGTTCTCGTCGTCGGCTGCTGCTGCTGCGTCTTTGAGAATAATAGATACTCTCCGTGGCGGTGTAGGGGGTAGAGCCACAGGTGGAGGGGAAGAGTCTGCCGCTCTCGCCGTAATCGCAACATCCGCCTCCGCATCCGCATCCCCGTCCACGTCCACGTCCACGTCAACATCCACCACTGGGTCGCTCGAGCCCATCTGCGCTACATTTTTGGCAGCACCTCCCCCTGAGGGCCGCAATATAATCCTCTTTACTCCTGAATTGGTCTCCGGTCCCGTCTTCTTAGGTTTGGGCAGACTTCCCAGGGGCGCCATGTTCTCGACGACGCCATATCGAACCAACCCATCGTCCTCGAAGCTCGCTTTGCTCTGCACAGTCGGCTCTAGCCAGCGCTGCATGAAAGCCCTTGAACCCTCGGTTGCCCCCTTAGACGCGTCGAGTACTCCATTCCATTTGGTATTCTGTGATTGCGCGGGACTAGAGTAACGAGATCGTGTAGTGCGGGTATTTGACGAGATCATTGTGCCGGCCTTTGGCGTGCCTGACCTCGTGGTGGTGGTGGTGGTCTGTTGTGTGTGTGCCTCTCTCTGCGTGTGCCAGTTGCCGCGGGACGGGCAGCGCACCTCTCTAGGCCAGCTAAAAGGTAGCTCAGTTAGCAGTGTTCTTGAAATAAAATGCACAAAAGGGGGGGTTCAGATGTTTTAATACTTTTATCTTGGAAAGCAGCATGAATTACTGCAATATTATCGCGTCTTTCAAGGTCGTGAACGCGGGTTGATGATGTTGAAGAGAGAGTGGGTGGGTAGCAGGTTGAGACTCGGCTTTTGCTGTGCTATGGTCAACGCCCTGCCTGCCTCCTCGCCTCGACAGGTCAGTCCTTGAAAAAAAAGACCCAGACCCAGTGTCAGTCAGTGTCAGTGCATGCATGCACCGGAGCTGACGGCGCGGGTCGGACAGACAAGGGACCAGGGGGCGGAAGGCGACCCAGGGATAACGGGGAGAAAAGAGTGTTCCTGACCTGTAAAGTCGATTTTTCTTATCTGCTTCCCTTTTCTTTTCTTTCCGTTTCTTTCAGCCTCTTATTCAGTAATTTATAGGTGATAGTTCAAGTACAAACCGCGGGTTAGGTTGCTACTTTCGTGAACCGGGAAGGGACTGGATGGGATGGAAGTGGCTCTTCATGCTTCCTGTGTCTAGGTAGGTCCTCCACTAAGATATCTTACTTTTCAGTGGCTCCTGTTGCACCGAAGCTTCTAAGCACCCTCCCTGGCTTTACTCATTTACATGTGCTCACCTTCCCGAGTTCGCCTCCTTTCCTACTTTTTACTTCATTATCTTTCTTTTTTTCATCCTTTCCCTTGTTATTAATCTCTCTACATAGTTCCACATAGAGCTCTGGGTCTTAACCCATGGTAAAATAGCTTGAACTTCCAGGTAATGAAGTTAATAGAGCTCTCCTCCCTCGCACCCAGCAACCAGCCACCCACACTCACTCCCCAACCCATCCACTAGCTCCCGCTCAATATGCTACTGAGTGCAGCTGGAGCCTGATAGCTCATACATTCTCAATCATTTCATGTCGAACTCTTTTTTTTTTGTCCATCTTGTCAGTATGTGTAATAACACTCGAGAGTAGCGTCAATCATCATGTTGTTTGTATGAATGGATAAATAGGGGCTAGCTTGGCTCACCTCCATATCTGCAGCTAACAGTACGACGGGTATATGATGCCTTATGCCAACAGTAATAGACATCAAATTGGCATGGCACTGTTGGTACTGTGTTTCAACGACGACTCAGCCGGGTCATCCCTTATCTGCAAGTCCCAGCACTCAAGGCAGCCACATCACCAATAACTGGACGACTGTCTGACCTCTCCTCTCCGCACTTTGCTGCCATATATCGTCATAAACCATATGCTGTCGGGGGGTCTGCGCCATCAGCGGGCATGACAAAGAGTGGTTCACGCTCACTCAGCACTTTGGGAGTCAGCCCCTGCGCAGAAATATATGTGCGCAGTATCGTGGGTTCTCCCTAATTTGCATTCTCAGTCATATTGCCTCTCGCTAACCATCTTTGTCAGTCTTATCGCTATTGCGCCCAGCCTGCCTTGGTATGCCTCAACGATTCAATCAGTTCGGTTGAACTCTTGCAAACATGCATCACATAGACAGAATTCCATGGTTGATCAGTATCAGGTTGTGTTAGACTTATATATATCTTTCTGGTCATGCCAGACCACCTGACCAACACGGTGTGTTTCGCTTTTCGAGATTCCAATCATGCATATTGACCATCCAGCTGCCCACTCTGTTCGATGGAAGTGTTTTCATCCGCATAGCTCGTCCAACGGTAGAGAAGCTTGTGAGCCTGAATGTTGGGTTTGCATCCTGGTTGACTTGATTCTTGTTTGCCTATCCTCGGATTCTTTCATCAATTGTTCAGCAACTCTCCAGCTTGTCCGTCTTATCTTGTCGTTTTCTTTTACTCCTCATCGTCCTCCTTCTTGGCGGTCTTCTTCTTAGGCTTGCTCTTCTTCTTGCCGGTGTTTCTGGCCAGGGGCTGCTCCAGGATCTTGAGAACCTCCTCATCCTCAATCTTCTTGTCGGACTCATACTTCTCGAGGTCCAGAGGAGGTGGGCCACCAAGCTTGGTGATACCGTTCTTGGTAATGGCTGCATGTCGTGTCAGTATCAACTCTCGAACTGGTCAACCTCTCGACGTGCGACTTACCAAGGGTTGTGAGATATCGAGCAACAGGGGAGTTGTCCTTGTCACCAACTAGCTCATATTGGCGGAAGACGTTGCCTCGGACACATTCAACGACACCAGACTTGGCATCACGCTCGTCCTCAAGCTGTCGCAAGCTGAAGGGGAAGATGCCGAACTTCTTCTGGACCTCGTTGAGGATCTTTCGCGAGGTGGGTCGCTTGAGACCGTAGGTCTGGTTGGTGCGGCGGTGGAGGGTAGCACGCTGATCAAGACCCTTCACCTTGCCCGAGCCCAGACTGACACCGGTCTCGACACCCCATACCTCACCGATCTCAGGAACGCCCTCGCCCTTGGTACCCTCGGCGGGGGCAAGGACAATCTTCTTGCTGCCCTCAATCTCGTTGTGGTCGAACAACCAAGAGGTGGTGCTCTCGACGAGGTTAACTTCGTAGGCCTTGGTGACCTTTTCTAGGAGGCTGGTGATCTTGGCCTGTGTAGGGGCCTTCTGGGAGGCAGCCTTGGCCTTCTCCTCCTCGCTGCCCTGGGCGAGGAGACCGGGGGGGATCATCAGTCGCAGGAGAAGCTCGTTGACATAGTAGTTGGCGAGAACCAGGTCAGCGGTGCGACCGGTGATCTTGTCGCCTGCCTTGTCCTCTGGGGTAGCAATCACGGTGTCACAGACAATGGAACCGAAGCCATCGATCTGGGCGCCGAGCTGGATCTTGATAGCCTCACCATCCTTGATCTCGGTATTGGCCTCAGCCTCGTCGGAGGTGAGAGGAGTGTAGGGAGTGACGTAGGACGAGGGGGAGACGGTAGTGGGGTGGGAGAAACCTTTTAAGTGGCGTCAGCTTCAACGATGTCCATAGACCAAGTTTTGCGTGTGTGACGAACCCTTGTTGATCTTCTTTCCTCGGTAAACCTTGGCAACTTCTTCTTCGATCAACTTGTCACCCTGCTGGCAGATGTCGACAATCTTGGCGCCAGGGACGACGAGCTTGGAGACCTCAGCAAGGACCTTCTCGGAGATCTGAGCGGCGGTCTTGTACTTGGTAAGGGTATCTGGGTTGGCCAGAGAGTAGTCTGTGTGGTTATGTCAGCACAATAGAGCTCAATGCGACGAAATTGGTGTGCCCATGCGAGGCCATCGCGGGGTACTGATGACGAGGGCATTCGCAGTAATGTCGTTGTGGTGGCGGGGCAGTGAGGAGCAACGAGGGGCAGCAACAGTCGTATGCCTCCGACGTGACAGCCCAGTGCACGGCAGAGCTACAAAGGAGCTCTGAGATCTTAATGGAAGGGAAGGGATGGGATGGGACAGCTAATTGGGCACTGTAGCGCTTTGTAACGCTTTTTCCGGGCGGGGAACTCACCGGTTTCCTTGGTCTCGGACGACATGATGGGCAATATTTGTTGACTCGTTGGGTTTAAAAAGGTGAAAGAAGAACTGCAAATGCAAATGCCGGGGAAGAGTGGATGAAAGCTTGAGCAAGTCAAGTCAGGTTGGGTCAGTCGCACGCGCACACAAGAATCCAGAATCCAATCCAATACGAATAGCGCCCAGTGTGGAATGGGGACTTGGAAGTGGGGTTTGAGCTGGGAGGGTTTCGACAACAGGGTTTGGTTTGGTTTCTATTTGGCGGAGGGGTTCTGGTCAATCTCAGGCACGGTGATGGAGGATAGAGCCTGAAGAGGCAGTATTTATTCATTACCTACCTACCATCCACCGGATTTGGCATCAGGTATTTGCCTAGTATATTGTCATGATTTGTTGTGACTCTCCCCGAGGAGTCGTTGCATACATATTGGGCCTCTTGTTGGCCCAGCTCATGCCATTCCTCGATGACTCAACTATAGGATCAGTGAATAAATATCCATGCAGTGTGGTCGTATTTGTGTGCGCAAGCAGCCGCCACATGCTTGCAGACACGGACGGGAGGAATCCTTGATGATCCAAGCCATTGGTAGATCATTGTCTCGACGATATTCACTCGGTAAAAGGATTTTCTAGTATGGGAGCTTGGGCATGTGCTGTATTTCTCCACTTGTTTACTTTCTCACGTTATAACCACCTTTTTTGCGACACAATTCGTTTAATTAAAAAGGCAGTCTCGATAATGAGGGGCCATGAGCACATGCTATAAATCATGACTTCATCCAGCCCTGGACTATTTCTATATTGGGCTGTCGGCCACTCCCGTCCGTTGTGAGCCTCTGTCGGCTACCCTAAAGTATCCAGGTCCCGCTCTCAGTAACAATTCACAAATTTAGTTTGCTGCTACATGGCGATTTATTAGATGGAGCACTTGTGTATCATGACTTGGATTCGATATATAGACATTTCACATGCAAGCTGTTTGACTTCAGCCGTTATAAGTCATACATCAACATCGACAACACAACCCTAAGCTTAAAAGCTCATCAATGATCTCATGTGTCAAGGTTCACAATCAGCCAAGAAAATAAATATTATCAATAAACATAAGCCCTTATGATCTACCAAACACCAAGCCTAATCACATAGCTCAGAACAGTAATATGCTGTAATTTGGCATCGTCATTATTCAGGATCAGTCGTTCTTTGGGACTCCAGACTGCTAACTCTATAGTAACATGAGGCATCCCAAGACAAATCAGAGATAAAGAAAAACCAGACAGACTACAAGTAATGAGAATAAAGAGTAAGTACTACAAGAAAGCACGCAGAAGACATCAACTTAACGACGAGCAACTGTCAGGTAGTCACCGAATTACAAGCCACACCTGATATAGACACAGGTGGCGCAGCCGAGTCTAGATACATCAAGTCGGACGGGAAATTACGCCGACAGAATGTACAACTACATCCAGCCACAGGACGCCCTGACTGATCAAACTCCCGTCCTAGTCCCAGCGTGGCAGAAATCCTCACGTCCCAGCCTGCACCAGCATTGGCAACTGAACTTGCCAAATCGTCAAGCCTTGTCGCCTCGCGCTTTTTAACCTTTAGCCTTTCACCCAACAACGCCGATTCCACCGGCCAAGGACAACACTCAGATAAGACATCGAACTATCCGCCGCGTACTGAACACAAAAAGTTGTAAACTCTCGCTTGTTTCCTTTCCAACGCGGCAGTTCCGCTGCGCCGCGACCCGCGACCGCGATCCGCGCCCCGTTACCGTCTGAACATGGCCGCTCAGCCCTCCGCGTCAACGTCTTCGGCGCCGGCCACGGGCTCGGCTGCCACAGGCGCAGATAAGGATGTGTCCTCCTCAAACTCTCCCAGTAATATGCCAGTGCGCACGAAGGAGTCCTTCGATAAACTCATGGTCGAGCGGTACATCACCCGCGATGCCATCGCCGCCGCGGCGCTCGGCGGTCAGCTCGACCAGACACGCAAGATAATGAGCGACACGCGCGACAAGATCCAAGAATACCGCCAGGTCCGCACCGAGTATCGTCAATGGTTCCCCCCGTCGAGGCTCTACGGAGAGGGCTACAATGGCTTCGCCAATGGATACACAGAGAACCAAGGACCCTCACGAATCATCTATCCCTCCCAGAAGCCCCGACCTGGCCAACGAACGACGCCACCCCTCAAGTACAAGCGCAAGGATATGTTGAAGCAGGCCGAGCAGCACGAGGAGCTGGTCCCGTTGCGTTTAGAGGTTGAGTGGGATAAGATCAAGCTGCGCGATACTTTTACCTGGAACTTGCACGAGAGGCTTCTGCAGGTCGAATTGTTCGCCGCGCAACTTGTTGAAGATATGGGTCTAAAGCCCCCCGCGTCTCAACCGGTATACGAGCAGGTCGTGCATCAAATGCGGGAGCAGCTCAATGACTTTTACCCGTTGGTATATTCAGAAGATGATGCGCTTGACCCCGAGCTCCCCTATTCAGCATACAAAAACGACGAGATGCGAATCCTCGTCAAGCTGAATATTACGATTGGCCAGCATACCCTTGTTGACCAGTTCGAATGGGAAATCAATAACCCGTCAAACTCGCCAGAGGACTTTGCTGCCAATATGGCTCGGGATCTGTCCCTATCTGGCGAATTTACAACCGCCATCGCACACTGTATTCGAGAGCAGACACAACTTTTTACCAGAAGTTTGTACAGCGTTGGCCATCCTTTCGATGGTCGACCAGTCGAAGACCCTGATCTCGTCGGCGCATTCCTCCAGACACCTCTCCCCACTGTCTTCCGACCGCAGCAGCAGGCCAAGGAATACGCACCATATCTCTACGAACTCAGCGAAGCCGATCTGGAGCGGAACGAGACGATATTCTCCCGTGAGCAGCGTCGCCAGAAGAGATCGATCAACAGAAGAGGAGGTCCCCAGCTGCCCGATCTCAGAGAAAGGCAAAGAACCATTCGAACGTTGGTCGTCTCTTCTGTTTTGCCTGGGGCTGCAGCTACCATTGACGAGAGTAGACTCTACAAAAGGGCTGCTGGCCCCAGGGCGAAGCGCGTTGTACGTGATGGAGAGATCTCAGATTCAGATGATAGCGACGATTCAGCTCCTGATTCACCCGCCCCCTCACAAATCACGGGTGGTACTGCTCGAACACGAGGTATGCGCGGTGCTGCATCTGCAGCTCAGCAAAGAATGGCCAACCTCGGCCGGTCTGAAACCCCTGAATCAAGTGCCATCACACATCACCACGAGACCAGGACCTCCCGCCGGTTCAGAGAGGAAACAGAAGAGCCGTCGCATTTGATCGTGACACTCAAGCTCTCCCGCGACAAGCTGAGGCGGTTGATGAACCGCGACTACTCAGACTTGAGGCCGCCATCCCAGACACCAGTGTCCTTCCCACGAGCACCCAGCGCCTCCACTCCCTCAAGATCCATGCCACCGCCACCTTCGACCCCGTCCAGCGCTATGCCTCACGCTTCAGCAACTCCATCCTCGTCCCTTCCGCCAGGTCAACTTGGCCGATTACCGGCCCCTCCGACAGTTCCTGGACAGTCTTCTCACATGCCATCAGTAGGTCACCAAGCCTTTGAATAATACGCACATCGACAGTGGTACTGACTGCAATGCTTCTCCAGCCCCCGGCCCCTGAGTGGCTTGTCAATGCCCTCAAGGAATTAGAGAAGACCTATAACCGTGGCGACAGGTTCGAGGCCACGATGAAATACTCCTATCTGCACCCCGTGACAGAGCTACCTATCCAAGGCCAGCCTCTGCCCGAAGGTGTCAAATATGCCTGGCTGCCGCGTATCCGCTGCCTGGACTGTACAACTAAGCTCTATACACCTGGCCCAGATATGACGGTTAAGAAGTTTGAGACCCATCTCGAATTTTCAGGGCACAAGAATGCTGTTGCTAAGCGCGTGGCGAGGGAGGCCAATCCTTGAGTTTCCGATTTATTACGCGGGCGCTTCTCAAGCAGCATGTGAAACAGAGATTTCGCCACTCTATGTATACCTTACTACCCGGCCTTGTTCTCTTGGGCTGCATCTTGCTCGATGACAAAGGGGCGTTCTTGGTTCTTTTCAAATTTACTTTGCATCAGGATTTTCAGTTTCAAAGACAGAGAGTTAGTGACTGGTGGATTTTCATCATTGTTTTGTACATAAAGCCTCGAGTTCTGTGAGCACAGAAGGGAATGACGGGGTCATGAGGAACCGACGAAACGAACAGCTGTCTCTTCCTCCCTCCAGGTTGGTCTATTATTCATTTTGGAGTCTACGGGAGAACTAGGCGCTGTACAGCTGGGCTAGGACAGGGAGTGAAATATCAATATCAGAGCGTTTGCTTACATGTTTTCCATACCTGACATGTACAGGACTGGCCTTTTAGGTACATACAATATGAGTCTGAGGTCGCTCATGACTTGTAAATCGAGATTGAAATGTCATGAAAACGAAATGCTATTGCTAGAGTCCCGTATGAGAGGGTATACGACAAGACAATTACCCACAAACCAAAGACTCCCTTCCCTGTATGATAGAAGCCAAACGGACTCCCCAAATCTCATCAGCTTTGTCACCACTCTTGTACCTATATAAGAGAGAAATATCAGACCCAATAATAATAGAAGAGGCATGATTTCAAAATATTGGCATCCTGTAATCCCGACCATGGTACTTGGCCCCTTGATTACTCGTCAGCATCAATTTCCATATCGTCTGTGCCCTTGCCCCGTCGTGACCTCGTTGACCTCGTTGGTCGCTTTACCTCTGCAAGAACACTGGCCTTGACAGGTGGCTTAGACGCACCCCTGCTCTTCAGTGCTGGAGCTGCGTTTCTTCCGTTGAATCTGGGTTCTCCAGGCTTATCCGCTTCCGGTTCTGGAGGCTCGTCGTTGTCCGATGCCTTATTATTGTCATCTTCATCGTCTTCCTCTGGGGGGGCATCCGAAAGCTCTGATTCATCGTCGCCTGAACTGGCCTCGCCACCTTCACTATCATTTTCTGGATATTCCCAGTCGGCCACGCCCTCCAGCATCTCCTCCTCGTCTTCTTCGTCTTCTCGCTCTGTATAGACAGACACCTTATGAGCTCTACCACTGCGACGACGTTCTGAAGGCGGTGGTGTGTCTTTGACTGGCTTGGATTTCTTAGGTTTCGGGACCTTTTTGGGCCTGCTATCACGCTTCTCTCGGATGGCTGTCTTGACTTGAGTTCTCACCCTCTTTGCTGGAGGATCCTGCTTTTCTCCCGTTGATTTTCGTTTCTATGATCAATCATTAGGAGTAATCTTCATAGCGACTAAGGAGCACAAACCTTCTTGCGATCGGCAGCTTTGAGCAGTTCGTCCAACTTCTCGTCCAGCTCTTCTGGCATATATTGCTTCTGGGCAATCTCATGGGCAACGCTACTCGACGGCAAGCTTTGCACAAGACCGCTTGGCAGGCCGACATTGCCCGAATAAGCCTGGAAAACCCAGTTTTTCCTCTCTTGCCACTTGCGTGTGACTGCCATTGCGATATCAGCCAGCACATATATCCGCTCACTAGCCTCGGGGTTCAGTGCATCGCGCGTTTGCTTGACACGCTCAGCGTACTTGTAGATCAATGAAATGTTCTCTTCTGTTGCACAAGTATTAAGATAAAAGACGAAATAGTTGGCGAAATCAGCCAGGTCATCAACGTCAGAGCTGTAGTCAGGATGGTGAGCCAGTAGAGGAATGAAGCGACTAATCATGGCCTCGAGTACGTGAGCCCTGTTTTGAGCAAAGAGTCGGGCTCTGGATCTCAACCAGGTTTCTACCCGGCTTTTGAGTTCTGCTGCTGGCTCGAAAGCAGCCAAGAAGAGCATTGTGTAAAATCTCGCCCGTAATCTTCCTTGAGTGATGTAGCTTTGTAATTTCTCCATGAAATGACGACGAACCTCAAGTTCTGTGTCTTGCACGAGCTCTGCAAGCTTGTTGAAGCTAGCGGGATCAAACTCGTCATCGTATTTTTTGACAGTACATAGTTTCAGGATCAGAAGTCCAGCAAGAAGTCTGAGTCGTTTTTTGTGAGCCAATGGAGTATCCTTGACTTTGCAAAACTCTCCTTCTTGCACCACAAATTCTTTCAGGAGTTTAAAGACCAGTTTCACTCGAGTCAGGGAGTCATCGTCGTCCTGATTCGCGAGCGCTTGATTGACCAGTGTCCTCATGGCAAGACATTTTGCTTGTAGTTCCTCATTCATGTCCTCATCCTCGACCCAGGAAACCTCAGGGTTCTTGTCATTAGTACGGACTTGACGCAGAATTTGCTTGATTGTCAAGTCGTTGATTGTCTCATCAAAGTCTAGAGTGACTGTTGGTGCTAGACGTTCAAGCTGGCTGACTGCAGCCAATCTTGTCAAGAAATTCGGCGAGCCATACTTGAAGTCCTTCATGATTCTTTGCAGAAGAGCGGTGGCGGTAACTTTACTCTTGTCATCGTTCTTAGCAAGCAGAATGTTGACGGCATACTTGGCACTTCTGGCAGGAACCCCACATAAGGCGTAATCCATAAGAACCTGAATGAACTTCTTGTCATAGGTAATCTCCTGGGGATATCTTTTGGAATAGGACGAGTATGCCTTGAGAATATCCACCACGGCGGGCTCGTTAGGCTGGCTGCCTGACGGTGCTTGGCTGATGATCTCCTTTCTGAGATTGTCCGAATGAGCCTTGAAAAGCGCAGGATTTCGCTGTGATATATCATTCAAGATCTCATGGGCAACTGTAGAGAATCCAGCTTTGTCATTCTTGGAGTAGTCCATGATTGTAGCCAAGTGACTCCGATTATACATCAAAGAGCCAGCCCGGTAAATTAGAGGGATGAGGGTATCCAAACAGCTCGCTGACCCTGGGTTACCTTGGACCTTGGCAATCAACTCCTTGATGGCTCTTCGGACATGTAGATATTCGGTATCGGATGCAATAATAAACTTGAGAAGCTGGTAACAACGGCGATCGTTGAGTTTCGCGAACTTCTGGAGATCGCTACGGACCTTGAGCGGATCCGGGAAAAACGCACCGAACCACTGGAAGGTCTTGCTCAAGGCGGCTTTGACCTTTTCCTCGTTTGCATTGATCACCCCCCCGTTATAGGCTTCACATTGCTGAATGAATACTTCAACTCCCTTGGCAACCTGGGGCTGACGGGCCTGCATAATGAAAAAAGCCCTCTTGGCAGACGCATCCAGTGACTTAAGCAACAGTAGGATCCTCTCTGCGCGAATTTTGTCCTGATCCGCCTGGCTATTGGCCGTCTGCGACTGAGAGGCCGCCTTTGATTTTACGCCCTTTATGAAGGGATACTTCAAAGGGACCAAACACTCGAACATGACCCGTTCAAGAAGAATGATGAGATCCTCATCGCCGATATACCACACACTGAGGATGCGGGAAGGCACACCACCTAAGCAGGATATGACAGCCTCTTGTCCATCAGCAATTTCCCCAGCACCAACTGACCACAACTTTGCCAGTAGAACCATGGCTTCAACACGTACGGCGGGCTTCTTATCACGAGATCGATCCGCCAAGCTGGCAAATATTGAGCCAGTCTTCTCTACGCCTCCGAGAGCTCCAAGTTTCAGAACGATGTCGCGGAAGTCAAACAGCTCGACTGCTTGTACCGCAGCCAGCCGAACTTTCTCTTCGCTGTCATTGAGCTTTTCGTAGAGTGCCTTGATGAGCTCGTTCTCCTCTTCGCGGCTAAGACCAATGCCCCCTGCAGACGTGGCCAATATATAACCAGCAGCAGAGATCCAAGCCGCACGAATGATGGCGGCCTTGTCATTCTTTCTCCCAACGAAGTTGCGATACGCGGCATGATGTATTTGAGCAAAAGACTGAGGTGAGTAAGGTTTTGTCAAGACGTTCTCGACGGCTGGGGGTGGAGTGTCGTCCAGTAATTTTATGGGAGGATAAGCCGCTGGTTCCAACGAAGGAGGAGGTGGTGGTCCCGCTGCACCAATGCCTGAAACCATGTCGCCAATCGTCTCTGTGGCGATTTGACGAAGATGCACATTGTCGGCTGAAAGCTCAGCATCGAGCTGCGGTACCACGTTGGAAAGAACTGTCGGGGCGGCTCGCCACAGTTCGCGAATGAGTAGATGGGCTTGGCGGAGACTCCTCAGATCTGCCTCTGATGGGCCCAGAGTCCCGTCTTCATCATCAGAATCATCCGCATGTCGCTGCCCATTGGATTTGGTAGCGAAGCCGGAAGCGTTAAGAATAACGTCACTGAAGTATTGACTCACGTAACGTGCCATTTTATCGGAACATCCATTGCATATATTTTTCGCCATGACATATGCTGGTGGTTCTTCCTTGAGAAGAAGAGTGGATTGATTCCCGTTCTGTCCTTTATGTCGATTTCCACCGGGAGGAGCAGCTCTCAGAAACTGACTGATAATCGCGTCGACAACAGAAGCCGACACACTCTCGGCCTCGTCAATCAACTGCATTAGCATTTCTGTCAGGTGAATCTCAACGTCTTTAGCGACCTGTTCCTCAGATGCTGCCTTAGAACCAGATGCCGATACTCCGTCAAATGTGCTGTTGAAGAGTCGTAACAGTAGATCGTCAGCGTTGGAGATTTGGTGGAGGAGTAAAATACTCTTGACTTCCGTAAGAGATGCCAAAACGTATTTATGCTGGCTGTCATATGGATTTGTGGGATCGTGCAGAGCCGGTAGGATATCCTTGATGAACAAGGTGAATATCATCTGGAGCATGTTAGCATGGTACAGATATAGATGAAGAATCGTGCCAAACACACTTTGATCTGGTCGTCGGTAAAAGGAGCATCGGGAACGAAGAGTCGAAGAATATCGACTAGGCAGCATGCTGTGTATGCCTTGACACCGCCATCCTTGTGCTGAAGTAGGTTACGGTGTCCCAATTGTTTGGCCACATCTCTGATGGAGTCCAGGTCGGCGGCACCTTGATCGAGATCGGAGAGCTCCTTGGATAATTTGTCGAGTCGTTTTATCAGAGTGCTCGTAGGAATTGGCTTGGCGGGTTTCCAGGAAATTTCTTCGTCGAAAGTCAAGCTGCGTTGCTCGCCCTCCTCCTCATTCTCTGAGTCATGGTCGCGCTCTTCGTGCTGTTCTTCTTCTTGGTCTTGCTCATCTTCCCGCTCAACGACTTCCTCCTCCTCCTCCACTTGGGCAGGCTTCTCGACGCGCCGACGACGCGCCATCATGCGCTATACAAAAACCGCCAATTGAATTCTTCTTTTGAAGGAGCTGGAGGGCCTAGGAGCGAACTCAATAAGAATGCTTCGGCAGACGGTGTGTTGTGATTATTGGAGTTGCTGGGATACGAAATTTGGGGTGCGTAATTGTCCTAACACCGCATCGCATGCGCTTGCTGTAGCAAAGACCTGACCACTGCAATACCAGCACCGGTGGAGGCAGCGCCAGTATGGTAATTTCAGAGCGATGGAGTCAGGTATCGTAAAGACAGCAAAATCTCGAGGGCGACGATAAATTAAAGGTCAGACACGAAGTGGGAGAGATGTTCTTGTGATAAGCGGAGGCGTGTTCCGTGCACGCGACGCGACCTTACTTTTGGTTTTGGACGTTAGCCACTCCACTTCCACTTCCACTTCCACTTCGATGGGGGACGGACGTTGGGTGGGTAGGTAGCCAAGCAGCATGAACAGGAGCTAGCACCAGAGAGCCAAGCTAGGTACCTACCTTATACCTAATTGAGTCACTGCCTGAACAGCCTGGGTTGCTGCCCCACCAATAGGATATGTCCTTGATGTTTATGCTTCTACTGAGCTCATGTTTTTGGCTAAGGTACCTTAGCTACTTACATAAAACTCCAACCTCAAGTCTCTTTTTGAATCACAATTGCACGACTATTTAACCCCCTTTCGACAATCTTACACGTCATTTTTGGTTTATGTATTGACTGAGACGTTAATTTGGCTCCGATCTGGAACTTTACACCAAGACGTTAATTTGTTCCTCTCATGATCGCCCTATTCATGTCCTTTGCTAGAATGCTCCCTGTCTTGGAGATAGGTATAGGTTAAAGTAACCAACGAAAACCTCCATTGTGAGCTACCACTGTTTTGTCTACTGGTCGTGGCTCCTGATGGGGGATTATGTGGCCCGCGCTGTCTGACAACTAAGCGTCGTTCGAGGAATCGTGAGGGATGCCATATTCAGGCATAGCTTTCTGAATATATGTACCTTTAACTACCTACCTAGGCAGTAATGGAACTCCACGTTGGTTACTGAAGCCAATGTAGATGGTCCATGGACAGAGACATGCCAAGCTCCCAAGTTAACGGCTCCCAAGTGAGAGTTGAGAGACAGCAACATCACGAGCACTACCTTTTCTGTATTACCTTTTGTCATCACATATTAATCTTCGTATCTTGAGGCTCATCAATTAACCGCTAATTCAACTCGACTGGCTCTGCTGGTACATACATACACGGCATTGGATACAAGTGTTGCGAACACGGTGATACTGGAATCGTTGCAACAGAGCCGTTTATGTACGACCATGGTATGTTTGCTTCATTTCACCGTGAGGCGAATTTGACACACAGAGCCTCCATTTTGAGGTTTCATGCTAGAAAGTTCCCTTGCGGTTTCGGCCTGGAGCAATTCAGGATAGATCTCTGTTGCACAAGTTTGGCCGCATTGTTTGCCGCGTGTCGAATCATTTTGCCACCCTGTAAGTGGCAGCCCACGGGATGATTAACTTGTACTCGCCTATGAAAGGGGATCTCCCGTTGATGGAAGTAGAAGATGGTGTTGCGAGGGTTATCTCCACTGCCTGTAGTGCTTTGGTGGCAAGCTGTTGAGTACAAGTTGAGCCGTTGCCCCCTTAGAAGAAGAATGCGACATCTCTTCCTTCCCTCCTATTTCATGCCTCTTCTCTCTTTAAAACAGGCTGGTCTTTTTAGTCACCTTTCCACTGAAAGATCTGTTCAACTCCCGTTTGACACGCGACTAACGAAGGAAACAAGGCAACTGAAATCGCCTGAGTTCAATGTAAGCCAACATTCTCCGTTCTTCAAGATTTGCGATCGCTGCTTCACCTTGAAACTCCATTCTCCTAAGGTAGGTGCTAGTAGACAGGATGTTGAGAGTTATTGCAAGCGTTAAGCCTGCCACTGGCTGCCAGCTGCCAGCTGCCAACCAGCCAGCAGAGCAACATGCAGCCCTGCTCTTTCTTGGTGCCATAATGAATCACTGCCTCTCCTGCTCTGTTTATTGATTTTGCCTTCTCTCGCCGCCATGGAACCTCCTTCCAGCCCTACTTCTTTCCTTGAATCACTTAGCAGGCCGTCCGCTCCTTTCCCTCTCCCACCCTCACTATATCCTCCTCTCCTCGTCTCTCGTTTCTACTCTACTCCCCCATCTTCCAAACTTCGTTACTCCAACGTCGTCTAACATAATTTGTCTTTCCAAACAGAAAAGGCCTTATTCTATCCGCTCGACCGGTATGTATATTTTCTTTTCTTTTCTTTTGTTACTTATAGCACTGTCTTCCACTTGGTCTTGGGTATCAGGCGCTGCATCGCTCTCATCACGAACTGCGCCCGTGTCTTTTTACTTGCCCGGCGAATAATTTGCTGATCACACTAGCAGTCACTTTGATTATCCAGTATTACTCACTATCAATTTTGATCCAAGTACGTCCACAGCTGTTTTCCAGTACTCTCCAAGGCTGATTCCATCTCCAGTGGCGGACTTGATGGATTCCGAGAAGGGCGAGGGCCAAATTCCTCGAATGTCCGGGGATAGCAAGAAGAAGAGATCTCCATTCTTCGTCAAGCTGCTTGTTGCTTTTGTGATTATCATATGTGCAATTCTCGTCATGTTTGGCATGGGTGTTGTTGGCGCAGTCTACGGTATGTTTTTGGAACTCGTTGTTGCCACGGCTTGTGACAAACTAACCAGGTAACAGCCAACTTAAAGTTCTTCCACGATCAGGAGCGCGGCACTGTCGATTTTCTTTCAGGTGATCAGGTGCACAACGTTGCTCGCCATCTCGAGAGCACCGGTGCTTCATACCCAATCTCGTATGTCCCCGACTCCCAGGTACTTTTATGATGCCCAAGAAGCCACTGACCCCTAGAGACAGGACTAAGACGGCTCTATCTACAATCTATGGCGTCAGTTACACCTCGAATGCTGATGTGGTCACCGAGGTTGCAACCGTTACTGGAACCCGCTATGTCACTGTGCCTGGTGAAGCCCTGTCTGTTTCTGTCACCACACGGGAGAGCACTACCGAATACTGTGAGGTTCAGGTCGTTACCATGACCGAGAGCTACACGGTCACTATACCTAACGACATGGCCTCCCAGGACTCCTCGGGTGACGCTGTTGGAGCCACCGTGACCGGCAACCCACAGACTGTGACCGAGAACGAAACTGATTTCTCTCTCACCAGTGGTCCATCTGATGCCATCGTCACCGGCAATCCACAGACTGTGACCGAGAACGAAACTGATTTCTCTCTCACCAGTGGTCCATCTGATGCCATCGTCACTGGTAACCCACAGACTGTGACTGAGAGCAAGACCGATTTTTCTCTCACTGTTGGTTCGTCCGATGCCCTCACCACCGCCAGCCCTGAGACCATCACGAAAACTTTCGAGGTGTCCTCGCCCCTCCCTAAACCGCACACAACTATTACCATTCAAAGTCTCTATCCTCCTCGGGAAGGTCTGAGCACTGTCACCCAGTACACCACTGTTGAGAAGACCATCACAGCTCCCGACTCATTCATCACTGTCACTTTGACTAGCAAATGCCCAGAATGTTCACCCATCGTGTCAGTTTCTCCTTCCAGTAGCTCCACAACGACTGTTTACGAAACTGCTGGTGTGCCCCCGACCTCTACAACAACTATCATGGTTCCGCCTCCTGCTTACCCACCTTACCCAACCGCCAACAATACCTTACTGCCGGGTCCATCCGGTAGCGTTACTGTTGTGCCTACTGTACCTACTCCGACTCCTGTTGTCGTCTCAGGAGGCACCAAGAAGCCCGAGCCTCGTGGGTGGGGTGGTACCAGCGGGACCACCAATCTTAGCTGCACCGTTATGCTGGTGGCCATTATCATGTTTGCACTCTGAGCTTGGACGGAGTAATCGGCGCATATGCTGCCCTTTTGAGAAAACTTGATCAAGGAAAGGAATGGCAAGAAAGCACTCGCAAGACGTGCAAGGACCACGTTAGGAGAATTGGAGTTTCAGCGGTCAGAACTGGCATTGGACTTGGTATCCAAACTGGAAATGGAATTGAGATGATCTGTAAATCCGCTCTTGGCTTGCGCTATGCTGCGTACCTAGGCAATGAATAAGGGGACGCCGGGAGCTAGGTATAGATAAAAAAGTTCAATATCGCAGCATGGGTACTTTAATTTCGGCGCCGAATTCTTGATGTTGATGTTGCTTTGAGGTTTGTCAATATCTCCTAATTTCATATAGGCTATGAATGTATTTAAGAAGGTGTGTCTGTTCAAATCAAACTTGCGAGATGCTATGTGGTGCAGTGGTGAAATATGAGAATCTCCTATCCATAATCCTTTCCCAACGCCTTGCCCTATCGATACAGAACCAATATCCCCGGACGCCGTGTTTGCCTGTCGATTAATCTATCTTGCAGGGCCCCTACTCGCCCGAGCCTTCCAGGCATTCTTGATTTCCCCAGCTGCTCTGTACAGGTCCTTTTCCGAAACCCGATCCTCGATGCTTTGAAGCACACTCTTAGTTGTGCTGATGTGGTTGGCCTCGTTCTTGTCATCACGGAAGCGCACAATGCGCCACCGACCTTGCTCATCGATGTTACATTCAACCACTCGCCAGTTAAGCGGATCGTTTAGCGACTTGAGAGTCTCCCACTCCTCCTCGGAGATGAACACGCTGTTGAAATACTCGTACTTTTCGGGGCCGTTACCCCCTGCGTAGACGTACAAGTCAGCCTTGGGGACGCTGTCATAATCAATGAATGGCTCAGTGATGCCTTCGCGACGCTCCTCGTCGTTGGGCTCAACTTCCACAAAGTCCAGGGACAGGCGGCAGTCTACAGTGTTCTCCTCTGGCGGCTTCCATTTCAAGATGTGGTTGTCGGTGCCGTGTTTGTAAGCAGTGGTGCGACAGGTGAAGATCAGACCGTCGTTGCCGTGCTTTAGCTTGGGGAGGATATCTCTGAACATCATATCAATGGCGTAGGCAAATTGGGGTTTCTTCATCTCCACGTAGAAGGGCTGGAACTCTAGTTCCTGAGGATATTCCTGATAAAGCTTCTTGTAGGGGCGGTAGAATCGTTGGTCGAAATATGCGAGCCGCTTGTCGAGTGTTCGTTCCATGAGCAGGGCACCATCCAGCACCAGACAGTCAAATACCAGAAACATGGGGACGCGCTTCCCGTCGGAGCCTGTGTCCCAAACCAGTTCACCGTCGATCAGCGTGTTCGTGTGAAATGCTTCTGGGGAGTTCTCGAGAGGAAAGTGCAGGCTCCTGTTCGTGATGAACCAAAAGTCGTTTTTGCGATCGATTAGGTAGTGAGCCTCGTTTCCATTCTCGTCTGTTGTCGAATAGAGGAGATATCTGATACCGTCGGACTTTTCAACTACGTAGTAACTACAAGATCACCGTTAGCTGTAGGTTCTAGGTCGCGAGATAGCGTTCCATGTCAATCTTACTCGTGCTGAGCGAGCTCCTCGAGATGCTGACGGGCGAAGCTTACGGGCTGCGCACCGGGAAAGCCAGTAGCAGACCTGTTGAGAAGGTTCGCGACCTCCTTGCGCATTTCGTGGAGTAGTTGTCCTTGAGCCTTGATGCCTGGCTCCGCGATGGAGGCGATGGGCCCATCTTGTTGGGCCATCGCGATGACTGTGGTGAGGATGCGCTGGGGGAGGTTTGATTGTTGTTGCGACAATGAAGCTACTGTCCTTTATAATAAACGCTTATCGATAAGGAACACTTACAGAACCGCATACTATGCTCCCAAGCTCCAATTGAGGTACGGCACGGAGCATACTTTTTGGGAGACAGGAGCTCTTTGAGAGTATTCGAGATTTGTTTTTTTTAAAAAGAAAATAGGAATTTTTCTTTTTTGCTCTTTTCTGTCATGTAGTATTCTTGTGAGAGGAATGGAGATTTAACCTGGTATATAACAAGTCGAGGTAGGCAGCCATTCAGGCTGGACCTAGATTTCATAAAATCACTTTTTTTCTTCAGAGACGACTTGCAATGTTTATTTGTAAGGTCTGCATTCCTGTGACACTTACACGGTCTTCAGTGTCAGACTTCTGGCCTTCCTGGCGAGACCAATAATTCATCGTCAACAAGTCTACACCAAATTCGCAGAATTGCGCAACTTCACGATAAATTATAATATAGGTGTCAGTGCAGAGACCACAGCAGAGAAGAAGTCAATGAATTATATGGGAATATTATTCCTCTCCTCTTATCATCTACGGCTTTCGAACCATCAGGCACACAAAACAACAGAGTACAACATGTTTAGGACTCGTCAATCTTCTCTACCTCTGCTCGAGCTTCCTCCCATTGTTGCTTACTTTTCTTGGCCCACTCGATCTGACTCTGAGCATAAGCGAGCTGGTGGACGTTAGCGCTTCGAAGATTAGTCAAGACTGAGCTCATAAACTCACCATGTAGCGTCGCAAGTCGTCCTCCTTGTCCTTTTGGAATCGCTTCATATCCTTTAGAACACTCGTGCTGGCTTCTTTGACATCGCGCTCCGAGACAACTTGAGCTTGTTCTAACTGACCGATGCTCTCTCTCGTCTTTCCGATCAAATCGCGGCGTGTTCTCTCTGGATCGACGTCAACGACCCCTTGTACTGCATGTCGGATGGGTCCAAAAATCTTGTTCGTTATCGAGTTCCCACTGGGCATCTTCTTATGAGACGGCGCACTGGTACTCCTTTCTGGTAACCCCTGACTGGCTGAAGGTGTGTGCGAGGAAAATTCCCCGTGGGTCCCAGGAAAGTCAGAGTCGATGGACTCGGTGTCGTCCTGGCCACCATCACGCCGTTGATGAGAGGACGGCTCCTTAAGGCTCGTCGATCGCTTTGGCGGTGGTGATATTTGCTGACTGCTGGAGAGGTAATTCTCAATTCTTCGAGCCTCGGCCTCACTCTGCTCTAGTTGGTCGAGCAGCGCTCGCTTCTTGTTCAGCTCTTCGCTAGTCAAGTCTTGCTGCACACGCTTGAGCACACGATACTTTAGTACACTTCGAACAACACCCGCAAATTGCGCATGCTCACGCATGGGTTCGGCAAAGCTAGCACCCAGAGAGCCTGAGAGCTCCTCTGTGGCGATATATGATAGATCAGCTGCCTGGCCTATTCGCTCAATGGCCGGTCCGAGTGACGGCGCCTGCTCTGAAACCGCAAAGGCGTTGTAGACGGATCCTAGCTCACAAAGATCGGCCGCCAATGAGGAGAGATGACTGAGAGTTCGTCTGTTCACCTTTTCCATTGGGCCAGTAAGAAGCTGTTCGAGTTCCTTGATCGAAGATTCGTATGAGATGAAATAAGGGTCCAGCTCCTGTTCACCCAGATTGTGACCCTCAGGTGGAAACCGGCCAAAGGCGTGAGGCCCTGCTTGTATGTGGCCTGAGCTATTGTCGTGATTGGTACCAGCCACCGTCTTGAGCTTTGCCGATGCTGCCGGGATTGGCAAGTAGCTGTGCGCGGGAGTTGGATTTGCGGGGTCCAGCGGAGGCGCTTTCAAGATCGACTTGGGAATTGACGACACGGGATGAGAATGCAAGACCTCGCTCTATTATGCAGTTAGTAGTGACATCTGCGCATTCAGAGACACGACATACCCAGCTGGCATTAGGGTCCAGGAATCGCCACCAAACTCCATCTGTTCGGATTTCGTCCATTCGGCGGCAGCGATTTAAAAAGACTGCCAACATGCGCTTTCGGAGATCAATGATTTGCTGGTCCTGCTTCGCATTCGTAGGGTTCGCGGCATAATCAGCCATCGTGTGCTTCTCAGGGATGGGAGGAACAATTAAGGTAGGGTGAAGGCGAGTAAGGGCATCGCGCAGAGAAGCGAACTCTGAATATCGGCGGCGCACTTCAAGATCCTGTCACGTAGTCGTCAGTGAAATACCTCGGAGGACTAGCAGTAGATGGACGTACGCCAGTCTTAATAGTGTACACGATATATCTGCCGCCGCTCTCTAGACTCTTGCCAGCATCCGTGATGAGGATAGATAATTTAGGGTTCTCGTAGAGGATCTGCTCGATGCGACTGTCGTAACCACCGGGCTTGCGCTTGGGGCCGGTATCTTGCGCCGAGTCTCCATCGTCGTTACCACCGCCGTGGCCAAACTGGCCATGCTCATCATCGCTACCGGAGGTTGGTGTTTGAGGTGGCTCGAACGATTGATCTGAGAGAAAATCGTAAGTATCATTGATTTCTTCCTCGTCCTCTGACAGAATTGAATCAACCATCTCAGCAACGATTAGGGGGTGACCCTGGGAATGCTGTCTAGTGAAATGGTATGGGTAATCGACGTACAATTACGAGTTGACGGGGACGTCGGGTTGACAGACGATGACTGTGAGTCCCGCCTGTCAAAGCTGGTGCCGTACGGGTTATTGTCCTCGTCATTCCACATTCTGACGACTTGTCGAGGGCAATCGCGACAGGTGTTGCGGAAAGAGGTATTCAATACAACCCAAGGTGGTCTATTTCGCGCGTTTAAGCCGGGAGCCTGGACAGGAGCTGGTAGGCTGCGGGTGAAGGATGAGAGCTTCAAGCGCAAGGTAGATCGTAGCTAGCGGGGGAGGGGCAAGCATGGGTCGATTGAAGCGATACAATACGATGGTTCATGCGCTGAAGCTGACTACATCCAGGCCTATTGTTCCTGGTCGTGGAGTAGAAATAAGCAGAGTATGAGAAGAAGCCCAGGTGAAGATGGGATGTCGCGGTCGGCGGTGGAAGTAAGGTTAGTACCTAGGCAAGGTAATGAAGGGAATAGGATGACGTTGAATGGGGCTGGGCCGAGTTGGCTATGGCTGAAGTTGGCCTAGGTCATCAATTCCTCTGTGCCGTAAGTGCCTAGGGTAGGCTGCTAAATTACCCAATGCTAGTAAGTGACAAGGGGCGTGAGAGGACGAGTCTCGAGCTTTGTTTTACCTAGTGGAACCTTTCCATGGGCCATCGCATTGGATTGGATGCCTTCACCCGAGTCAAATGGGTATTGACATGAACTCCATCAGTCAACGTTGAGTAAATAAGTGTTTTATGTAACTAAAGATCAATTTTCTACTCTGATTTTCTATTGGACACGTCACGCTCAAAGGTGATTAAATGTTATCTCATGCTCGTGTCTTTCGCGTGAGCGCACCCTTGATTTTTTCTCCCAAGTCACTCCGCATTGAATATCTAAGGTAAGTATCTTTGTCACGAGAACATAACCTCATGCCTCTATCCAACAGAGCCTTCTTATGAGGCACCTCCGCGACCACCAACTCCCCACTGTGCTTGCGCCTCGGCGATCGAGGTGTCAATCTCGGGCAGCTTACGTCCTCTACCCGTGGGTGCGGCCATGAACTTGATCTCAACAAGGTACCGAAGATACCTACCGATATCCTCACGGGAAATGCCGTCTCCTGCGCTATCGTCAATATCTATCCAGCGGTCTGCATCATCCCTAAGAACAGCCATAGCGTTCCTATTATCTAGCTTAGGAGCATGAGTAGTGCTTGGGAGATTTGCAGTAGCTATATGGAATAGCGGCATCTATGCGTTTTGCTCCTGATCCTTCTCCACGGCTCCGGCTGAGATAAACTCCTCCAGCTGCGACTTCTAGATGTCGTAGTTAACCTCGGGGACTTTATAACCGTAGTAGCTTCGTGCAGAGAGGAGCTTGTTCATCCGCAGACGGGGGTGAGCAGTAACGTGCACCACGTTCATGCCAGGGAGAGGGTTTAGCATCGAAGCGACAACAACGCATGCGACGTGATTGACAGGGATAGCATTGACTGAGTTGATGATGCGAGGACGAGCACTAAGCTGGCAACAGCCTTTTAAGAGGCGTACGATCCAATCGCCGGTGTTCGAGACACCACTGTTGCGACTGCCAAGGATGTAGCCTGGTCGGACGATTGCGCCGCGGAGACCACGGCGGCCGGCCTCGCGAACGAGTTGCTCAGACACCCACTTGGTTTGCCCGTAGCCGGTGCCGAGACCGGTGCGGTTGGGGAGCAAGTCATCGTACTCAAGGACGGCGCCTCGGCCCGTAGCGGTCTGGGCGCCGGACAGGTTGATATAGTAGTCGGTATCGAGGGTCGAAGTTGAGGAAACGAATGAGAAGAGCTTGGGCTTGCCCTCATTACAGAGCTTCATAGCGTCGATAGTAGAGAGAACATTCGGCCCCATCATCTGTTCGTAACGAGTGATCCAGTGGACGTACGCAGCGTTGTGGATAAACGCATCAGCTGTATCAGCAACATGCTTCCAGCTAGCGTCGTCAAGGCCAAGACGAGGCTTAGAGAGATCACCAATAACGCAGGAGATCCTCTCAGCCTAAGAGTCTTGCCAGAGACCGTAGCCTTTAAGGGACCTTACAAGACACTCCTTTGCGAACTTGAGGTCCTTGGCTCCCCTAATACAAGCGATAAGCTTAGTGTTCTTTCTGTCCAGTATATCCTTGGCTAGGTATGCGCCGAGAAAGCCAGTAGCCCCGGTAAGAAAGAAAGTGGCGCCGCTAGAGGGGCTCAGAACATCGGGATCCGCCTTTTTTACTTCGCGTCTAGAGTATTGGTAAGCTCATCGAGGGAGTCAGAGTAAACAGTATCGTTAGAACGGTCGACTGTGACAGCCTGGCCGCTGCGAAGACTGTCGACTGCGCTGCCCAGGCCGCGAAGAGTGGGATTTGCATAGAGAACACCGATGGTGACATCGACACGCAGTTCCTTGCGAAGGTTAAGTAACAGTTGCTGGGCAAGAAGACTGTGACCACCACAGTCGAAGAAACTTGAGTCCGGCCTTGAAATCGAGGGTCAGTATTTAAATGGTAGATAAGTGAACTACCAGTAGAACATACCTGACCATCTTGGCGTTCAAACCCGGGATTAGAGTTGACCATTGTGTCGCAATAGTCTTCTCAGTCTCAGAGAAGGGTTCCCAGCTCTTCAGATCCTCTTCCGAGGCATCCTCTGTCATAAGAGAGGCATCGGGGAAAGGAAGATTAGGAGAGTCAACCTTTCCGTTCGGGTTAAGAGGCAGCTTCTGCAACACAATGTAGATCGAAGGAACGGAGTGCGCTGGAAAGCGAGACTTGAGGTGGTCTCGCACCTCTGCTTGGATACGGCGGAACCTCTTGAGGTAGACAGTACAGGGTCCTATGTCTACACCCTCTTCGTCGATATCCTGGAGGCCCTGAGTCTCAAGCTAACGCTTCCATTCAGCGATCTCAGGCACGATGTAGCTGACAAGTGTCGGCTCCTCATTACGATCTCTTCGAACCAGTGTCTTGCAGTCTCAGATCAGAGGACTGCCACCAAGGTTCGCATCAATCTCGTTGATTTCAATGCGGAATCCACGGATCTGTCAGAGTCAGCTTTGTGAAAACGCACAATGGAATAAATCGTTATCCACCTTAACTTGTGAGTCCATACGGCCTAGGACACGCACAGCCCCGTCTGGTCGATATTCTCCAAGGTCACCTGTGACCTAAAGTCTGTCTCGCGGCCCCTTGTAGTACTTGCGCCAAGGTTCGCCCTTATCGTTGGCCTTGTCTGCCTCCACCCACTTCTTGTTATCAACGAGCCAGTTATCGATGAGCTTCTCCTTGTTCTTCTCGGGATCATTAAGGTACTTCGGCAAGACCAGCAGCGCGGATATAGATCTCTCCAACCACACCGATCGGACTGATCTTGGTGTGATCTTCTCGATCCACAACCAATACCTGGACACCCTTCATGCCCCAGCCAGCGGGAATAGAGTCGCCGAGTGAGTCCAGGGCTGTAGGGTCCTCCTGGGCGGAAGGGACCTCAAGGTAGGATACAGCGCGAGAAGTTTCTGTGGTTCCGTACATGTTGATGATGGTGCAGGCGGGACTTAGCTGACGAAGACTCCTACAGTCGCGAGTAGTGAGGACGTCACCAAAGAAGAAGACCTGGCGCAGGCTAGGAAACTGCGCTGTGGCGCCACCAACCAGAATCTGTCCCATGGCAGGCGTAAGATGAGTTGTCGTTGGTGACCACTTTCTCATCCATTCACTCAACTTTACGTGCTGGATATCCTCCTTGGTGGGCAGGATTAGGCTTGCGCCCAAGGCCAAGGGCGTCATGATATCTGGGGCCAAAGTTAGTCATAGCTGTTGAACACGTAGTAAATGAATCCGCACCTCGCTGGATTGGGTCATGGGAAATTCCGGAAAGACAGGCGAATACGCTTTCTGATGAGAGGCCGAACTTCTCAGCCATCCACGGGAAATACTTTGCTAGGCTGTAATGACGGCCAAGCACGCCCCTATTAACGTTAGTAAAAGTTCAAGCTCTTAGCAAGGTGGAAGAAAAAGAAAGGAAAAGCTCGTACTTGGGCAGTCCTTGCGTTCCGCTCGTAAATGACAGCGTACAGTTAGAGTCAGGTCCAATGAGCATATCAGGAGGTGTTGAGGCCCTCTCCTCAACGTTGGCAAAGATATCAGCTCTGTCTTCGCCCGCAGTCAACTCGCCATCGTCGGTGAAGCGGAGGTCTGGGATCTTGATCTTAATGGGAAGTTCATCATGAATGCACTTTTGGACGAGAGGAGCCAGATGACTGTATCAAGACGTTAACCAATGGAGCTCTTGGGTATGAAGAGTTGGGGATGGCCCTACCCACTCTCCTCTGTAGCCTTGCGAATGGAGATCAGCGCCGTAGGCCTGGAAACTTGAAGATAGACTGGTATGGTACGCTAGTTAATGCTGATTCAAGTTCTCGTCTGGGTACACCATACTTTGTTGTCTTTATGGGGGGGGTACTGAGGATCAAGAACAGTGACGATAGCACCAGCAGCCAGGGTTCCCATGTATGCACAGACCAATTCGGCTGAGCGGTGCGCAAAGGTCATGACTACGTCTCCATTCTGGATGCCAGAATCGCGTAAATAATTTACGATGTTGTTACTTACTTCATCAATTTGGCGGTAGGTATAGGTTCTTATTAGCGCCCTGTATGCGTTATAGCAATTGATGTAATTACGACCATGTTTCAATACAAGGGGATATCCATCACCCACTTCGAGGTCACAGTCTCTGTCACACAAAGCCTGTCGGGGTGAGCTACGGCATTCTTGTGGAATATCTCATGAATGCCTCCAATGTAGCCTCCCCAGTCGAGATCTTCAGTAGGGTCAGCGACATCATGCCGGCTGAACTTATACACAATGTAGGAAGAATTCCTGGCAGCTACAGCCAATGAATGATGCGAAGAGATTGAGCGGCTAAGGGCGTTGATGAATTCAAACTCTCGATATGTGGTCCCCAGATGTAATAGAGCGACAGTCTGAGACCATTTAAGAATGAATGCATATGGCTTGTGGCTTTCAATGCGTCACACAGGAAATTTCTATGGAGCTCCGAGAGCGGAGTGCTAGTATAGGGTAGTCAAGACGATGTGCATCGGGTCACGTGACCTTATTCCACATCTTTTCATGTCACTTCATATACAAATAGTGATTTCTATCCTGATGACAAAAAGACTTAGGTAATTCTACTGCAAGTCTACTAAATCTTGAGACTAGTTTCCTTTGACTCCTTGTTTTACTGGAGACCTGGCCAACAGCATAGGAAATGGAAAGTGGAAAGTGGAAAGTTGGTTGCCTATGACCCGGAGCCTGGCCGTTGCAGAAACCCATGGTTGTTGACCGTTACATTGACTCAAATATACATCAACAATCTTGTTACTGATGACCTAGTTACTGTACATGGGTTACCAGCACAATGCTGCGAAGAGATCTAGGCTCTCCTTACTAAATCCCGCAGTTCAATACCTCGCAGTTCTACTCTTTTAAACAACCCAAACCAAATGTTATAGACTCACAAGCCACATGTTGTGCTCAAGTCTCAAGCACATGGCTAGTAGATGCCGCCCCCTTGATGAGTGGGCTGAGGTGTTGACGGCCAAGTGATGCCTCCGGTCATGTAGTTTGCATTAGTATGTCTAAGTCAATAAATCAGTATCAATCAAAGCCAAGAATGCGAACCTATGAACTGACGTGCTGTCCCAGTTTCTTCTGTGCATCTCACGACCTCGGTGATGCTGCTCGCACTCAGGATGATGTGTCCTAATGGGTGGCTGACGGGACAATGTTGGCGTATGGGCACGAGATTGTCGCCTGAGGGTGTGTTAATACTGTATGAAGCTGATATACGAGCATATCCTACCCGGGCATCACAAATTCGAGTTGGTCAATATGCTGTCGAGTGTCCAGCATCACAGACTTGGGAGTTGATGGCTTTTCCATGGGATTGAAAGGCAGTCTAGCGGGCAGCATGGCCAAAGGGTTGTGATAATCTGACAAGTTGCTATCATTGGCGTTTGACAAATCTGTTTGTCCGCGAGATTCTTGCCCGTTGGATGCGTTATGATGAGTATGCTGTAGTTGCACATTGGAGATTAGGTCGTAATCGTCACTATGGACTGTCGCTGCTGCAGAACCTGGAGATCGGATTCTATCACTATCAGCTGTGTTGCTCCTGTCACTTCCCCGAGAGTGATCCGAGGGACCATTATCGCGCCCAAGGTCTTGACTGTTGCGCGGTGCATCACGAGCCTCTGTTTGTTTATCAGTATATCTGTTTGCGTTCGATGCCCGATGAGAGCCTTCTGGCGGAGGCTGTGGCATGGCAGGGGTTCCGGGAACTGATTCGCTGCCCACGGTCGAAGCTTTTCCGAGAGGAAGTCCAAATGCTCGACGGAGACGCTGACGCCAGGAAGGATGCCGAGGGGGCAAACCGCTTGAAGACATAGAAGCTGGACATGACCCAGAACACTGCAATGGTCTGACTTGCTCATTCTGACGAGTGGTAGGTTGAAATATTGGCTGTGGTTGAACGTATGTAGTTGGCTGGATAGGTAGAAATACTGGGATCTGCTGCTGAGGCATCACCCCCGAAGGACCTTGAAGATGCGGGAGGCCAACTGGAACGAGAGGAGCGAGAGGGGGGTGATAGAGTACAGGCTGATATGAGACCTGTTGGCTTGGGAATCTCGGAACAGGAGGTAGTTGTACTAGTGAAACAGTCGGGGCAAGGGCGAACGAGCGGCTTCTACGCCTCCGTTGGCGGCGGAGCACAATCTCCTGGTGAGCCGTCGTTATTCTTCCCAAGTAGTACATGCAGGTAAAGAGAAGAACGATCAAGATAACTGTAGCACTGATGATAATACCTGCTTGTTCAGAGGGAGTCAGGCAGTCCCAACCCAAACAGTGGTGACCTCTAACATAAAGGCTCAATATGTTGGGCCAGGCGATGCCCACCTGGTTGATGGGAGGAACGGGGGCCATCATACTGAAGCTTTATAGCTGCTTTTCTTTTATCTGTACCTAAGTGAAAGTACTAATTGAGACTCGCAAATATGAGTGGATGAAGGAGTTGGGGAGAAATCCTCCCAGGGGATGGGCGAGGACGAAGATGATATCCTTCCCAGGAGTTTTTGACGGTATAGAGGAAGAAGAGAAATGAGGATCGAAGCCTCAAATGAAGAATATATCTAAACTTCTAGGAGAGATATAGATATCCGAGCTTGAGAACTCATCATTGGCAAAGTTGGCTGACACTGTCTGCCAGCTGCCCTGTGCCCAGTGTTCACCCGGCCAGCACCCCGAGCTTGACGATCACTGCCAGCCTGTGAGAGATCGAAGTAACATGCTTATTTAGAAACATTAGTATTTAAAATTTGAAAGAGATAGACTGGAGCGGTTGGGGGATTGTGATGCGTTAGATGGCGATATGGTGATGTTCGAGAAGAACGAACAGAGGAATATCCACTGCATAGAAATGTGCTCTTTTCTAGCTCATGTAGTCTATAAACCAGGAGATATGAATATCAAGGGCATTAATATAGACCACGTAATACAAGACGGTATATCAATAATATAGAAACTAAAAGGGAAAAAAGAAACCGCTTTTATTAGTTCCATTATAATAGGTATAGTAAACCATTGTCATAGAGTCTGTTAAGGTATGAAAAGGTCCTACTTACAGCAGTACAAGGTAAGTTAGCTATATATATCTAATGCCATACTACTATTAGCTCAAGTTTCTCGAATTACAATTTATTATTACAGAGCTTGACTGTCTTGTAGGTTGTGGTCACCTCAAGCAGGAGATTTCGCCGTATAAGTCAATGGCCAATCAGGAGCGGTTCTCGTCCCACTAAATTGCACCGAAGTACGTACCGCATTTCAAGACCTGTCTGGGGGCAGCTTCTCATATTCTCTTTCATCCTGCGATGCAACAAGACCAAGTTGATACGCCCAAACTTCCTACGCCATCATCACAACCTGCCTCCCTCTCGCCCGTGTAGACAATATCACAGAGGCTCGCTTAGATTCTGCGATTGATTATGTCACTTGGTCTTTGAACCACTCGATGAGCTGATCCTCCTTTAACTCGAGGCGCATTGCTACCAGCTCCGAGCGACGCGTTCCTCGAACCAACTTTTTTACTCCCGAACGAACAACACCACTCTTTTATCCTCACGCCACTCCCCAACCACGATGTCCTCTTCGCAAACAGCCGCCGCGAACGGTGTCAATGGCGAAACACGGTCCGCGCCGGTCAGTACCCGATTTACTGACATCCCTTCCGCCATCGACATCCCCGTGCAAGGTGACCAGGAAGACGAGGCTGTCGAAATCGACCTTGAGGACCTCGTCGATGACCCTACCGAACTCTGTACCCTCTTCGAGAACGAGCGCGCTGCCAAAACTTACTGGATGACCGTCGCTCTAGCTTATGCCAAACAACACAAGATCGATCATGCCATCGAGATGCTCCAGCGAGGCGGCAGCGCCATCCAAAGTAACAGTTCCAACCCGCGCGATAAAGTCAGCATGATCTGTTGTCTATGTTGGATGTATCTGTGGAAGAGCAGAGAGGCTCCCCGTGTCGCACCCGAGGGCACCTCGGTGTCTGAGGCCAAGACAAAGGAGTATTATCTTCAGCTCGCGACATCCTCCCTTAACGATGCCGCTCGACTCAACCCATCGTTTCCTCCTATCTTTCTCGCCCGTGGTGTTCTCCTCCTTCTACGAGCCTCTTTGCAGGCACCGTCCAAAACTACTGGAGGCATCGGTTCCGAGAAGCACGAGCTCCTTAAGACTGCTGTAAAGTCCTTCGACGATGCCCTGCGAGTCTCCCAGGGAAAAAACATGCTTGCACTGATGGGAAAAGCTCGTGCTTTATTTTCAATGCACAAGTACCCCGAGTCGCTCACAATTTACCAGGATGTTCTGCAAAAGATGCCTGACTTGGTTGACCCGGATCCCAGAATTGGTATTGGCTGCTGTTTCTGGCAGCTTGGCTTCAAGGATGACGCCAAGATGGCCTGGGAGAGGTGCATTGAGATCAACCCTGATTCAAAGGTTGCCAACATTCTCCTCGGCCTCTACTACCTGGATGCGAGCGGTCATGTACCAGTAAACAGCGACGAATTCCTGAAGCTCTACAAGAAGGCCATGACAGAATACACGCAGAAGTCTTTTAAGCTCGACAAAAACCTCCCCCTTACCTGCTCGACTTTTGCCGGTTACTTCTTGTCTCGAAAGTCGTGGGACAATGCCGACAAGCTGGCACACAAAGCTATCCAGTACACAGACGTCAATGCTATTGCCAGTGATGGTTGGTACATGCTTGCGAGAAAAGAGCATTATGACGGTGATACGGAGCGTGCGACCGATTACTATCGCCGTGCCGATGAAGCTCGCGGAGGTACTGAGACAGGCTACCTTCCTGCTAAATTTGGTGTTGCTCAGCTCTCAGTTTTGAAAAATGACTTGGGGGAAGCCAAGCTTCGTTTGGAAAAGATGATTCAACAGTCCAAGAACAATGAAGCTATGATTCTCCTGGGCACACTGTACGCCGAGGAAGTCTTCGCTAACCAGGTCAGCGACAGCAAGGAGGACAAGTCTGCTGAACTCAAGAAAGCAACCGCTCTTCTTGAGGGTGTACGAAATGCTTGGAAGGACCCGAAGAAGGCATTATCGCCAGATGCCTCAGTTCTCCTCAACTTGGCACGCCTGTACGAGACAGATCACCCTGACAAGGCTCTGCAATGCTTGCAACAAGTTGAGCAACTGGAATTGGACCAGGTCCCGGCATCTGAACGACCTGAAGATAGTACTGATGAGGCCGAGATCAAGGCTGCGCTTCGCAAGTCGCTGCCCCCTCAATTACTTAACAACATCGGCTGCTTCCACTCACAAGCTGAGAAACATGAGCTTGCGAGTGACCTGTTTGAGGCCGCGCTAGGTGCTTGCATGAAGATTGGCGAGAAGGACCCTGAGATGGACACAGATGCCTTGGTATCCACAATCAGCTTCAACTTGGCTCGAAGCTACGAATCTAGAGGTCTCACAGACAAGGCTGTCGAGGTGTACGAAAGTCTCTTGGCTCGCCACGACGATTACACGGATGCTCGCGCCAGACTTGCCTATATCAAACTCAGGAAGAACCCGAACAAGGAAGGTCCCGACGCTGTCGCCAAGTTGTACCAGGAGAACAATACCGACTTGGAGGTCCGAGCCTTGTACGGCTGGTATCTGGGCCGAGTTGGCTCAAGGAAACGCCCAGCCAACCTCGGCGAGGATAATGAGTTCCGCCATTTCAAGCATACCCTCCAAAACTATGACAAACATGATAGACACGCTCTCGTGGGCATGGGTAATCTGTATCTCATGCAGGCACGAGAGATGCGCCGCGAGTCGGACTCGGAAAAACAAAAACGAAGTGCTACCTACGGTAAAGCTGTTGAGTTTTTTGACAAGGCGCTGTCACTGGATCCAAAAAACGCTTATGCTGCGCAGGGTGTGGCAATTGCTCTTGTCGAGGACAAGAAGGATTACAAGGCGGCACTGGGTATTTTCAACAAGGTCCGAGAAACTATCAGGGACTCCCACCTCTATGTTAACCTGGGACACATATATGCTGAGCTCAGACAATACTCAAAGGCCATTGAGCACTATGAGATTGCGCTTTCCAAAGATGGCAAGGCCAATGATGCAACAATCCTCGCTTGTTTGGGCCGAACATGGTTGAATCGTGGCCGGGCCGAACGTGATGTGGATGCACACATTAAGGCACTTGAGTGTGCGCAGAAGGTCAGTGGCCCCCTCTCATACTTCGTTGTACTTTGTACCTATGCTTACTCCTAATCAACAGGCTCTCGAGGTTGCTCCTGAACAGATGCATTACAAGTTCAACGTGGCTTTCGTGCAAATCCAGCTTGTTACAATGGTCCAAGGATTACCAGAGAACAAGCGTTCGACAGAGCAGCTCGAAAAGGCCGCTGAGGGCCTCGAGGCTGCTATCGCGTCATTGGATGAGATCGCAGCGCATCCGCAAACCCCTTACCCCAAGCACGATGTCGAGCAGCGTGCGAACATGGCCCGTAACACCTTGCGCAAACAGCTTGAACGAGCCATCGGTAAGCAGAAAGAGTGGGAGGAGAAGAATAAGGAGAAAATACAGGCAGCCAAAGAGCTACGAGAGGCCGAGCTCCGTCGCCGTGAAGAAAGTCGTCAAAAGGCTTTGGAAGCAGAACGGGAGCGACAAGAAAAGATTAGGAAGGAACGTGAAGAGATTGCTGCGCAAGATAAAGCTCTGGCTGAAAAGCGCGCTGAAGAGGAACGGGCTCGCGCCGAGGCTGAAATGACGACTGATAGCGAGACGGGAGAGAAGATAAAACGAAAGCGGAAGACCGCTCCAAGGGCCACGGGAGAATCAAAGCCCAAGAGATCAGGAGGAAAGAAGAAGAAGAAGAGTGACCGTCAAGACGATGAGTCTGAGGAAGAAGAGGAACGTACAAAGAAGCGCCGTCGTCTGACAAAGAAGGAATCATCCAAGTTCAAGTCGGCCGAGATTGTTGTTGACAGCGATGAAGAGAACGAGAACGAAGATGATGAACTCGAGCGTGCTGAGAGAAACATCGATCGCGAAGAGACTCCTCTATCTGAGGCTGAGGAGAAGGTTGCCGAGGATGACAAGATGGAGGTCGACGACGGCGCCAACCAGGAAGGCGAAGACGATGACGAGGAGGAAATCGCTCCGCGCCAACAGCACAAGCGAGCCCGTCGTGGACGTGTCGTCGATAGTGACGAGGAGGACAATGAGGATGGGGATGCACCTGCGCAAGCATCTGGTGATGAGTCTCGTCCTGCTGCAGATACCAGCATGGCCGACGCAGACGAAGACGAGTAATAGGAACCACAGGTTGATAATTAAGAATGTAACCTTGCTAATATAAGCTGAAAAAGGATTCCCTCCGGTTGGGATTATTTGTATC